CTGTGTCTCTGACATGCAGGCCAGGAACAAACTCCTGCCCTTGGACACACAGGAGACTCGGACACGGCCTTTCTGCCTCCTAAACGGACGCTCCCAGGATGCTGAGGGACAGATTGCGACAGAGCGTGTGCGAGCGACATTTAGACGTGAGGGGAATGGGACTGAGGAAGGGAGGTTTCTATCCCAGTCAGCGTCCACGGACAGGGCGGTCACGACAAAGGCCTGGAGAGAGTGGTAGCTGGCCCGTGATGGGACACCCCGATTCCTCGGACCTCAGGGCGCACGCAATGATCAATCATGCAGCCAGGGCGGGTCCCTAGGGGAAGCAGCATCAGAAGGATACTTCCACGGGAGCGCCAAGGAAAGACCCCTCATGGCACCACCACAGTGTCTGGCCTCGAGGGCTGGCTTGGTCACAATGCCGTAGGACCCCTAAGGCTGTGGTGAGGGCTGAGGGTGCCCCTCCGCAGATCTAGTCAACTTCCGGCCCCAGAGACATGCACTGACCACACTGAGCCCAGAGGACACCTCGCTCGCTTCTTCAGGGGGAACAGCGGGGGCACCATCACCAGCCTCCCGTGTCCCCTCGGACAGGAGCCTCGCTTGGGTGCAGACAAAGTCAGAACAGAGCGAATTTTATTTAGCTTTTTTGTTTTGGGGTCACAGCCAACGATGCTCAGGGGCTACTCCTGGTTCTGCGCTCAGGGGTCACTTCTGGCGGTGCTCGGGGGACCCTATGGGATGCCAGGGATTGAACTTAGGACAGCCATGTGAAAGGCAAGCACCTTCCCTGCTGTGCTATGGCTCTGGCCCCGAGTTCTACTTTTTAGATCGGAACCTTTTGTGGACTGTCCGTTTTCCCCAGATGAAAGGTGTACAGGCAGGTATCAAATTCCAGGGAGCAGGGCCATCTGCCCTGGGGACAGGGGCTGGCAATTTCCGAGCTCGTCTGTATATTCCAGACTTGGGCATGTGAGCAATGGTGCCCATGAAGACCGCAGTCCAGTTTTTCAAGGCCATGGGAGGGGGCGGGAGCATCACTCAAGGCGAGAAAATTCATCCTCTGGTCCCCAACACACACACACACACACACACACACACACACACACACACAGGGCTACATCATCGCTTCCTTTGTATCCCTGCCAAAAAATTCACAACCTGAATCCAATCATAAAGAAACATTAGACAAATCCGCATCGAGGGAAATGGACGGCGTAGCTGGCAAGACGTCAACACGCCGAGGTTAAGAGAGACAAAGAAACGCCTGAGGAACTTTTCCAGAGTGAGGGGAGCCAAAGAGACATGACAACTACACACAACGCCTGATCCCAGACTGAACTGTGGCCTGGAACCCAGGAAAGGCGGGAAAAGCAACCTGAGGGGCGGGGAGCACTGGGAGTCAGATGGCAGAGTGGGGGCAGGGCCCGGCCACCGGAGTTGCTGGGATTTGATACACGGCTTGTGTTTAGGGAAGAAGCGATCCTTATTCTGGGGAAAAGGACAACTGAGGGAGCCTGGCGACTTGTAAAGGACATTGATTGACTCGTAAGGTTTCATAAAGGAGAAGGGTGGAGGAGGGTCATTTTCTTTTTTTTTTTAATTTTTTTTTATTAGTGAAACACCATAAGGTACAGTTGTAGACTTACACATTTTTGTGCTTGGGTTTCCGTAGGAGGAGGGTCATTCTCTCTCTCTCTCTCTCTCTCTCTCTCTCTCTCCCCCCCCCCCTCCGCCCCCCCAACACACACAGAGAAATGGGAGCAAATGTAGCAACTGGTGAAATCTGGGTAAAGGGCACAGAGGAAATCCTTGTACTGTTCTCGCAACTTTTCCGTAAGTTTCAAATTATATAACTAGAAAGCTACTCCCAAATGCCCTAACTTCTCTAAAGAAAAAATTAAAAAATGGTGACAGCCTCATAAGAATAAACTCAGTAAGTTATGAGAAATTCTTTCAAGAATATTGGTTTCCGGCGCCAGAGAGATAGTACAGTGGGCAGAGCACTTGCCCTGCATGTGGCTGACCCAGTTTTGATCCCTGGCACCCAATATGGTCCCCTAAGCACAGCCAGGAGTGATCCCCAAGCACAGGGCCAGAGAAAGCCCGGAGCCCCGCCAGGTGTGGCCTGAACACATATACAAACGCACAAAAGAAGAGCAGTTTTTAAGCTGGTGTTGCAGTAGTTCAGAGGTCAAAAACATGCATCAATCATATAAAGCCCTTGTATCAATCTCCATACACACACACACACACACACACACACACACACACACACACTATGGGTTTCAGAATTACACGCTCCCCCTCTAGAACCAAGTCCACAGAACTCTAGCTGGCTCTAAATTCCCTTTACAAACGGAAATCCAACTCAGAGTTTTGGGCAGCTTTTTTGTTTTGTTTTGTTTTTGTTTTTTGAGGTTCCGGCAGCAGATACTGTCCTCTGTGAAAGTTGAACACCGCAGTGAACAGAAATTGGGAAGAAGGTCACTCCTCTCTCCCTCTCCAGATTCTTCAATATTTCTCTATGAAAAGCAACAATTCTCCTGGCTCGACTCCAAACTGAAGTCAAAGGAGTTTTTGTAAAAGCCACAGAAGTAGAGGTCTGCATTCTTCCCTGTAAACACACACTCACACAAATACACATGTGCACGGGCACACACACACACAGGCACACACACAGAAAGACAAAGCATCAGACAGCACATACACACATGTGTACGCATACAGAGACACGTCTACACACACCCAGGCATAGACGTATACATAAACCACATACATGCATGCAGACATATACATGTGCACAGAGGACAGACATCTACAGAAACACATTCGCACACAAACACATTCATTCATACGTGTCTACATACACACATAAAGAGGGCGTTCTTATTTAGAAGTGGTTCTTATCAATCCTTGAGATTTTCCTGTCTTTATTTGTGATCTAATCAAGACCCCAGCCATGGTCTTGGTTTTAGAGGAGAGAAGCAAAAATGCCTAAAACTGCCAAAGGAAAAATCGTGCCTCATGGATGTCGAAAGAGTTTTTTTTTAAGGCCATTTTTGGCCCCCAAGGATCTTCTTGAAGCAACAACTATGACATGAGTCGGTATAAAAACCCATTATGCTAAGTATGCATTAAGAAAAATTCACATGTGCGGAGAGGAAGATGTAATTGGATTTGTCGTTTCAAAGTATTAATGCTGGGCTTGCAGATAATAGAGAATGACATGCTCCTAGGCGAATAAAGAAGTTAGCCAAGTAAGTAAATGCTGTGTTTCTACTGTAAGGAAATCCGTGCACCAATGAAGCAACCTTTTCAGCACAAAGGAAATTTAATACCCAGACCACATGAAAAGCGATCGCTCTGGGAATAGCACAGCTGTTAAAATCCAAGTCAGTCTGTATTAAATCGCCCGGTGTGTTTATGCAGAGCAGGGTTCTGAGAATGACCACCAAGAGGAAATCATTTTGCGAACGAAAAAGTGATACCCACACTGAAAACTAATGCCTACAGCAAGAGGGAAACACACAGCGACTCTCTTTCACGAAACGCAAGGGGCCTCAGCCAACAAGTGTGAAAGTGATTCTTTTCTCCGCAAGATCTCAAGGGCTAATTTAATTAGAAATAAAACCAAGAAGGAGCGTTTGTGTTTCACCGGAGGACCCAATTCCCTTTATTCTCACTGATTAGCCTGATCGACAGAAAGGCACAGAACAACTTCGAGCACCTGTGCCAAATGACCTTCCCGCACAGACCAACACGGCCAGGCGTCCTGACACCAGCGAGCTCAGCTATGCGTTTGTGTGTGTGTGTTTGGGGGGGGGGGGGGGGAGTGTATCCAGAAACCTAAAGCTCTTGCCACCCTGGGGATGGAGGAGCTTGTGGCCAGCCTGGTCCTGGTCAGGGCAGGGCAGGGCAGGGCCACCTTATGGGAAGCCACTGGCTTAGGTGCCACTCAAACTGAGCACCAGGGGTCTGTCGCGAGCTGCCAGGGGCCATTTCTCCATTTGTGTGTGGGAAAGGAGCAAAGGAAGCTACAGTGTGGCGGGGCACGCAGAACCACCCTGGCGGGCCAACAACCATCAACTCTTAGGAGTCGTTTGAGAGAAACGGGTGCGATTGTCCCGCTCAGGCAAAGCTGACCCTGCAGCTCGTCAGTTCAGCCTGGAGATCCTTCTGGAATTCAGATCCCTGCCTGCCAGGGCGTCCCCATGTTGGACGGGGTGGCCGGCCACCACTAGGGACTGAGCATGCTGGCGAGAGAATCGTCTCCGGGTAGCGAGCCGTAGAGGCCCGGGGCTGTCTAAGGGGCTTGAGCATGACACTCAGACCAGTTCCACGTCTGTCAAGCATGGCAGGCCCCTCACGGTCCCTGGCACAGCCCGGTCACGGCCCCTGACATGGGCAATGCGCCGGTTCCGTTTCAATTGCAGGGAGAGGGGTCTCAAGCAGAAAGCCCTGGGGTCAGTCCCTGCCACACTCAGCACCCCCATCCGGGCTGGGGAGGCCACGGGGCCTCCTCAGCTGCTTCCCCCAGCCCTGCCTGGTGCTATTTTTAGAGCTCCTGGGAAGATGAACGTTGAAGGGGCCTCCCACTGGCTCCCCGGCCCAGGCCCCTAATCTCGCGTTACTTTTCCTTGACTGGACATGGCTCTCTACATTCTGCAGCCTGGCCTCCCTCGGCCTCTCCCCGTGACCTAGAATATGGCATAAGGAAGGTCCGAGAGAAGAAGGGACATTCTGGGGGGAACGAAGGTCAGTCAAAACTGACTGGACACAAGCCTGGCACGGGCCTGAGCAGCTACTCCAGGCCACCTCTGGACGCGCTAACGAAGCTACTCACGCAGGCAGTGAACACGGGAAAAGGAAGCAAGAAATTCCTCAGATGTTTCCTTTTTTTTTTTTCTTCCTTCTTCAGATCCCTGCCGCCCAGCCCCAGAAAGGCCTTTCAGGGTCTGGGCTGATGAGAGGTGAGGGGGCCTGGCAGAGTGACTTACTTTGGGAGAACAGGCCGTGCACTTGTCAAAGGCCAGGCTGACGGGAAGGACGTTATCAAAGCGTGACAGGAACCCGCGGATCTAGAAACGAGAAGAAAAACCCTTATTTAGGCAGAGAGATGAGCGTGCCCAGGGCCCAGCTCGTTGGGGCCCACAATGGTCTGGACCCAGCAGGCCCGGCTGTGCCTGCTGACCCATCTCGGGAAGGGCACCCCGAGCTGCTCACAAATAAAGCTCAAGTTGAGAGGAAAGTTATCAAGTCTAGTGCATCGTTTTCCTCTCTGTCCTTAGAAGAACCAGGACCCACTCGTTTGTGATGGCGGGTCCTCTATACATGCACTATGGAGTCTGGGGGTCAGTGGTCGCTCCCAGAAGGGCACCGGGTGGGCCTCCTTGAAGAGAAGGTCCCGAGACTCACCTCCCTCCAGAGACGAGCTTTGGGGGCTTAGAGCTGGGGGAGACGCCAAGCGCCATTCCTGGGCCAACAGCGCCCCCTGGCGCACGGACTCCCACATCACAACCGACCTCCCGCCTTCGTCTGGGCCAGCCTGGGGGCCTTTGAGCTCTTCACCCAAATGCTGCACCTCGAGAACCCAACCTACACCAAGGGGGAAGTTCTATTTCGTGCTTTTCCCTCCTGAATACAGAAAATTCAGAAAAGACTTTCTTTAAGGAAAGGGAAATGAAGGCAGGAAAGCTCCCAGGTTACGGGAGGGGTCCCCTGAAGGATTCCCCAAATTTATAGCTTGAAACCACTACAGATACCACTATAACACAGTGACTGAAAATGGGAACAACTCAGCCTCTAGCCGCCCCGCCAGGCCTCACGGCTGGGAGAGTCCTGATGGCCACATATCCTCATGGGCGGGTTCCCCCGATCTGCCCGGTAGCCCCCCGATTTGGCACTGACAAAACCGGGCACAGGGAGACGAAGCTGCTCGTTCAGGAAGACAGGCAGTGACCGGGCTACCGGGGAGCCCCCCACCTCAGTGACAGGCTATCAGGGGAGCCCCCTCACCTCAGTAACAGGGCTATTTGTGGGAGCCACCCCCCCATCCCCGGAGCCCCTCAGTTCCAGAGGGAGTTGTCTCCTCCCCCCATTCCCCAACACACACACACACACACTCCCCAAGAAGCCTGGTCTAGGCCTGGAATCCTTTGCTCCACCCTCCCCTTCCTCCTCCTGTCTCCTGTGTCATGTGAGGCAGCAGAGGAAGCTGCTCTCCCAGAAACGCCCCCCTCAGAAACCCCCGTACCCCCACAAACCCAACCCTCCAGCTCTCGAAGGAAACGGGCCTCTTCCCCGGCCTGGATAACCTATCTTGACGCCCATACCTTGAGGACCCCTGGGAGGCTGACAGGTGGGCACGCCACCACCTGGCTCCATCCCTGGCACCACATGGCCCCCCTGGGTGTCGCTGGGTGCAACATTTTCAGGGCATGGCCCCCAGCACTGCTAAACCACTAGAAGGGCTCCCAGGTCTCCTGAGCAGTACTTGGGAGCACCCCGTACCCCCAAAATAATCAACTGACTTTTTAAAAATCCACCTCAAGAGAATCCACAATGATGCAAGTTCAAGAGAGCTTGGCAAATACGGCCCATCAGATTGCCAGGAAGAAGGGAGATGGTGGGCCTCACTGTGATCCTTGGGAAATGTGACAATGGGACAATCACCCACTGACGACCTTACAGCCTCCAGTCTCAAGCGAGAGGCAGCGTTTGCTGATGTCAGCAAAGCTGACGGCAGGAGACAGCACAGGAAGTGGGCACTCGGCCTCACATGCAGATGGCAGCATGCAGTCACGCACGTGCCCTGAGTCCCACCAGGAGCGACCCCTGAGTCCAGAGCCAGGAGCACGCCCTGGGCAGAGCCAGGTGCAGCCCCCAAACCAAAAACAAATGAAAACAAAACCCAGCACGGCTTTATAGAGTGACATCCAGGGGCCAGAGCCGTTGTACAGCAGGGAGGCGCTGGCCTTGCATACGAGCTGGCTCGGGTCTGATTCCCAGTACTACATACAGTCCCCTGAGCACCACCAGGAGTAATTCCTGAGTGCAGAGCCAGGAGGAACCTCTGAGCATCGCGGTGTGGCCCAAAGTTAAACAAATAACAAGGGGGGAAAAAAGTGACAATGAGGTTGCTTCTCATGGGACCAGGACTGAAGGACATCTCATGAGGCGCTCTCTCTCTCTCTCTCTCTCTCTCTCTCTCTCTCTCTTCCCTCTCCCCCTCTCCATCTCCCCCTCTCCTTCTCTCCTTCTCTTCTTTCTCTTCCTCTCTCACGCCCCCCCCCCCCCCACCCCTTGTTCTACTTATGGCGGTGCTCAGGACTTGCTCCTGCTCTGTGCTCAGGAATCACTCCTGGCAGGTCTCAGGGGGCTGCAATGGGGTCTGCGGCCCGAGAGGCCTTAGCCGCTGCACTCTCTGGTTCTAGATCCCGGGGTTGCTTTAGCTCTTCCCTCACTGGAGAGTTAGGTGTTAACTAACTAACTCAGGGGCCAGAGAGGTGCTTCAAGGGCCAAGATGCCTGGGTGCGCTCTCTGACCCAGCAGGACCTCCCGAACACAATCAGGAGTACTCCCGCCCGCCCCCAAACACACACACACACACACACACACACACACACACACACTCACAGACACACTCACACAGAGCTGGGAATAGCCCAAGAGCTGCTGGTTCACAAATAAAAACAAATGAAAATTCTAAGTCTATATCCGATGAAAACAGGCAAGTACAGGAAATAAGTTCAATGTGAACAGCAAAAGCCCACAATCCCGAGCGTGTTAGTTCACTCCTGCTTCCTCCCATCTCTCTGTCTCTGTCTCTGTCTCTGTCTCTGTCTCTCCTGCCACACTCAGTGGTGCTCAGGGATCACTCCTGGCGGGGCTTGGGGAACCGTATCTGGTGTCAGGGGTTGAACCAGGTTGGACACATGCAAGGTAAGTGTCCTCCCCTCTGTGCTCTCTCGCCCCCATTTCGTTCTCTTATTTAATAGGGGCCACCCTGGCAGAGCCTGGAGCTGCGGGCCTGGGCAACCAGACCCACCCCCCCCCCACTGGAGTCCACACGCACCCCCCGGACCTAGCTCCTCAGAACCCCTCCTCTGCCCTCCTGCACTCCGCCCTGGGCCCAGAGTGTCTGGTGGGGACGCGTGTCCGCACAGAGCCATGGCCAAGGCCCCACGCTGGTTTTTAGAATAGTCACTGCACTCTGCCCCTCCTGACACAGAAAGATCACAGGAGAGAAGGAGGGGGCCCTGGAGAACACTGTGTGCGTGGGGCCAAGGGGATGCCGGGGCAACGGGGATCTTCCCTGTGGGGGGAAGGCGTCACAAACAAGAGCACCCCAGGAAAACGTCCAAGAGCACAATCCAGACCCGGAGCCCAGATTTGAGCACGTTCAAACAGGGCCGGAAAGTACCAGATCATGAGTCTCGGTTCCTCGAGCCCCAGGGAACCACCCACAAGGTGTCTCGTGTCGCCTTCCCGAGGAGAAAGGGAGGCGCTGAGAGCTCCCAGGGAGGACGGGGATCTGCCACCAGCTGGTCCTCCTCACAGGACCACAGGGCCCCGGGGCGATGGAGCCGGGCCAGCGGCAGTGGCACCCAGCGCCGACAGGACAGGGTTGCTCCATCCCAGGCAGAGAGAGCTGAGCAGGCACCCCAGGGATCCCTGCATGCGCCCGGTGAGTCTCACCCGTCTGGGCAGGGCCAAGGGTTCAGGGGACCCCAAGAATCAAAACCAGTGTGGTGGGAGCACCACTCAAGGCCATGTTCGAAGATCAGTGTTGCCCTGGGGTGCTGGGCACGGTGCTGCGCCCCAGGGTGTGGCCCAGGGCCCTGCTGCATCTGTCTGGGCAGCTTGAGTCATATCCGGTGGTGCTCAGGGCTGACTCCTGGCTCTGTGCTCAGGGCTCACTCCCGGCTCTGTGCTCAGGGAGCACTCCTGGTGTGTTCTGGGCACACATACATGTTTGCTGGAGACTGAATTGCGGTCAGCTGCCTGCGTGCAAGGCAAGTGCCCTTCACACTGTTCTGCCTCTCCTTCCCCAAGGAGCCCTCTTTTATACTGCGAGTGGAGTCGGGGGCCACCAAGACCCAGCATCCTGGAGGGCATCACCCAGTGGCTGTGGACAGGGGCTGCCGGCACGGGTGTGAGCCCTGGACCCGCTGCCATCTATTTAGAGATAAAAGGACCCCAATCTTCGTTTTGTTTTGGGGGCCACACCCAGTGATGCTCAGGGCTGACTCCTGACTCTGTGCTCAGGGATCAATGCTGGTGGGAGTAGGGAACCATATGGGGTGCGGGGGCTTGAACCTGGGTCAGCTGCATGTAAGCGCAATTAACCCTCTGTGCTATTGTTCCGGCCCCCAAGTGATCCCAATTCTGCACCCGCCCCGCCCCGCCCCGCCCCCACCCCTCTAAACTCCACTCAACGGCCAAACTGCACCCTGGGGGGGGGTCTCAAAGGACTCAAATCCCCTGCTGAGGGAGGAGGGCCAGGTTCCAGCCAGACAAGGGGAGGAGGGTGCGTGCATCCCTCTAGGGGGTCTCGCACAGGAAGCCCTGCTGAGCCCAGGCCCTGTTCCTACGCTCCCCCTGAAGGGCTCCCCCTGGAGCACCGCCGGCACTGCCCACGGCCCCTCTGGCACCTGAAGGGAGCAAGACAGAGAGGGGGGTTGGGTGGAGGTCGCAGCAGACAGGCGCGCACCCAATCACCCCCGTCCCCGCCCTGCCCTTTCCCTGGTCAGCTCCCCGAGGGGGACGGGGCAGAGAAGGCGACTCCTCCCTCAGGGCTAAGTGCCACTGGGCTGTCGGGGGGGGGGGGGGGGGGCTGTGTGGACCCCAAGAGGGCTCACTGAGCCGAGCCTTCGTGGGCCGGAGCGGGTCCCATTAAAGCCGCAGGTCTGTGGGCCCTGGCCCGCGTCGTTCCTTAAAAACGCCCCGGCCACACTCCCCGCCTGCCCCAGTTCTGGCTCTGGGCTGCCTTCCGAAAGCGACGAAAACAAAGATTTCCACAAGTCCCCGAGAACCGAGGAAGGCGGACACACTCAGGGCCGCTATTCAGCGGGGCCTGGGAACGAACAGCACATTCATCCCAGGACAAAACAACGCCCGCACGCTCTGCTTGGGGACACAGAACTGACCCTGGGGCTGGCCAGGACGCAGCCACCTTGGTTCTCCTTGAAGGGCTGCCCTGAAAGAGAGCAGGGCCCGGACACTCCAGGTCCCTCACCTGTCACTCTGGGCCCCTCACCTGTCACTGTGATCTCTCACCGGTCAGTCCAATTCCTCACCGACCACTCTGGGTCCTCACCAGACAATTCAGGTCCCTCATCGGTCACTCTGGGCCCCTCACCCGTCACTCTGGGTCTCTGGCCGGTCACTCCGGACCCCTCGCCAGCCTGGAGGGGGCCAGAGGGCCCTGCACATTGCAGGGGGCCTGATCTTTGTGTCCCAAAACTTCCCCACTGACTCAGGACCCAAGTGACAGCATCAGGGCCCTCTCTGAAGCGGGCAGGGGGCAATGGCCTCCAGTTCGGGCTTACTGAGGCCTCCGCGGGCAACAGGGTCCAGCGACTCTCCACAGCGGGCACGCGCTCCCTTCGCTCTGCTGGGACACCGGGACGAAGCACTTTCAACTGGAGGTGACTCGGGTCTACACCTGCGGGGTCCCCGAGCCTGCCAGGAGGGAGTCCTGAGCACGACACTGCTGGGGAGGAGGAGGTGAGGGCAGCAAACTAACAATAAACAGTTTTCAAGCCCCAAAACTCCATTGGACATGGGGAGTGCAATGGTGTGTGTGTGTGTGTGTGTGTGTGTGTGTGGTGGGGGGCAATCACCCACACAGGGGGCTGACACGCAGCCCATGGGCCGGGAGCTTCTCTGGACCCTGGGCACACCCAGGACTGCTGACTGAGTTTCTCTCCCATCACCGTCTGACAGGAAACCTCTTGTCAGGAAGAGGAGAGGCTGAGTCCCACCTGCGCTGCACCAGGACAGCTGTCCAGGGTCTCCCCATGTATGGCCGTGGGAGCTCAGGCTCTAAGTGGGCCGAGGAGAGACAACCAGCCTCTCCCATGGGGCTGAAAGCGCGCAGAGAAGAGCCCCAGGGGCTGGGAGTGACTGGCCACGGCAGCGCTCAATTGGGGAGAGTCACACGGAGAGGGATTAGTTGCCAGAGCACTTGGGAAATGCGGGCACATGCTCCGGGAGGGGACCCCTTCTCTGAGGAGACCGTCCTGTCCCCTGCCCTAGGCGCTGAGGCAACTCCGAGGGCGGCGATTCATGTCAGGGACAGAAGAACCGAAGGAGACAGCGTGGGCCTGAGGAAGGAGTTAGTGAGGGCCCCACGCAGAGGGCAGGAACCACGGTGCTGGCGGTCTCTAGGGCACAGACCGATGCCACCCACGTCGGAAGCTGGAAAGCCACATACGCGTGTCCCGTGTCCTGCCGTGCCCTGGACCCAAGGGAACACACAGGCGCCAGGATGCAGGGATCCCGGGCCAGTGTGTCAGAAAACCAGGGCCAGCGCAGCATTGACGAGGCCATGCCCCGTCCCTTCCTCTGACTGTCACCCCCCACTGGAAAGTGACAGGGACGCAGAGACACCTACGCGCCTGCGGGGTCCCTGAGCTTGACTGAGCCCAGCCATGTGGCCGCCAGGTCCGGAGGGTGAAAACGCTCGTAAGAATGAATAAGCCACTTGGAGGGGCACAAAGGGAACTCAGCTCCCACCCACCGCGTCTCTGCTTCCCACATTCCAGGGAACAGACCGCCCCAACCTGCGCCCCAAGAGACTCTGCACACCCCGGCCGGCTCCCCGGGACATGGGGCGCCAGCACTGAGCCTGTCTCCCTGGGTCTCCAACCTCCAGGGCTGGCACACCTGCCTCCTTTCAGCAAGGAAAACGAAGGCGGGGACGGAGCGATAGCACAGTGGGGAGGGTGTCTGCCTTGCACGCGGCCATCCCAGGTTCGATTCCCAGCATCCCATATGGTCCCCTGAACACTGCCGGGAGTAACTCCTGAGTGCAGAGCCAGGAGGAACCCCTGAGCATTGCCAGTGTGACCCAAAAAGAAAAAACAAACAAACAAACAAACAAAAAAACCCAAGACCTGATGCGTGATTCCTTGTCACCACCGCCTGGCACCGCGGGCGGCCTTCCACGTGGCCATAAAGCCCTCCTGGGACTGTGCCAGGGCAGAGAGGGGGCTGCCTCGCTCGTCCCCCACCGGATTTCCTTTCGCGGTCACTCACCTGGTGTGGCACCAGCCCCAGGGAAGTCGGGGGCTCGTTCATGCGGTCATCACTGCTACTAGCCACGGCGTAGCCCCTGGAGAGGAGACGGCACCATCAGTCAGAGTGGCAGGGCAGGGCGAGGGGTGGGATGGGACAGAGTGGGCAGAGGTGCAGATGAGCGTCAGACAGACCCGTTCTCGTGCCTGTCCCCGTCCCGTCCGTCAGAGAGAGGCTGGTGGAACCCCAGATATGTGCAGTGGACATCTCTCTGGAAACGGGAATTCGAGGCACTGAGTGGCACGGAAGCACTGAGACCCAGGCTGCAGGACCCTGAGCCGCCAGCCCCCACTCCACGCGCCACTGCTGGCCTATGGCACATAGGGAACCTGTTCATGGTCCCCCTCAGCTCCTGGACTGGACGCTTCTGTAGGGGACCCCACCCACTGCGATGAAGCTCATCTCTGAGACCTGAAGAAACTGTTGTCGATCCCCCCACCCAGCTCTCCTGCCCAAATTCCACACGGCACAGCCCAGGGCCAAAATACTGTAGGAGCCCAGTGGGCTAAAATCCCACCTGGCCACTCACAGCCACAGAGGGTTAGCAGCTTCCTCAGCCCTTCCGTTGCCTCAGTTTCCCCAACAAGAAGGGGACTAAGAAGAGCTCTGACTCGTGGCCATGAGGCTTCGTGCTGTGACTTGGAACGCGCTTAGGCCAGTGGCTCACACAGAGCCGGTGCTGGAAGTGGGGTGGAAAAGGAAAACCAGGGTGGCACCTGCTTCCGGCCAGTCTGGCTTCACTCTGGCACGCTCATGCACAGGGGAGGGAGCTGAGCATCAGGAAACCCCTTTTTCTTTTTCCTTTGTCCCCACCCCGCCCCCCTCCCTCTTTCTCCTCCTCCTTGCTGAATTTGCTGCTTTAAAATGAAATTTCGCGTTTGTCTGCCTGCTAGTCATTTTAAGAGGATTCCACTCATTTATGTTTGTAAATGGGCACGTGTAGGTGTTTCTATGTTTGGAGGAGGTGACATCAGAGCTTCTCCCCGCTTGGATGGGGCAATGCTGGCCTGTAACGGAACCCACACATGATGTGGGAACACACGGAGCAGAGCGAGCAGAGCACGGCGGGGCGGGAAGCACCGGCCAGCCCACTTCCTCCCTCTCACACGCAAGCCCCGTCCTCTCTGAGCGTTCAATCCTTTATAAAAGAATTTTAAAATGCTGCAGTGGTGGTCTCAGCTGCCAGGAAAGACCCTCCCGCAGAAAACAGAGAAGAGAGACAGAACACAAAACCCTTCTTCTGAGAGAAGCCGGAGGCAGAGAAGGGCTGCGCCAAGGCCCGTGAAAGGAGGGGAGCCCTGAGGGGTCCGCCAGACCTTCGCAAGGGGGGGCCCACAACCCTACACACAGTCAGCACCAACCTCAAGGGGAGCGACCCCAGGATCAGAAGGTAGGGACCGGAAAGATAGTACAGTGGGTAGGGTCCTGGCCCTGCACACAGACGACCCCTGTTTGATTCCCAGCATCCCATACGGTCCCCTGGGGCCCCATCAGGAGTGATTCCTGAGCACAGACTCACGAGTAAGCCCTGAGTACCACTGGGTATGGCCCCCAAACCAAACAAAAAAAATTTAAAAAAAATAAAAAGCTAGACAGGGGGTGGGGGGGGGTGGGAGGTGATGGGGGCGAAATCTGTGGACACTGGTGCTGGGAAATGTACACTGGTGGAGGGATGGGTGTTGGAACACTGTATGACTGAAACCCAATCATGAACAGCTTTGTAAAACAAAATAATAATAAATAAATAAAATATTTTTAAAAATTAAAAAAAAAATCTAAACAATGGCACCCCCAGACTCTTGGGGTGGTAGGGAGGAGAGGTTTGAGGCCTGTCAATGAGGAAGGACCCTGGAAAACACCCCAGGCTCTGGGCAGAGACCAGGAACCCCAGGGCCCAGCATATTGCCGGATGCGGATCAAGCACCTCATCTTGAATTTCTTCCACTGCAGACAATGTCCAGCAGGCAATCAAAGATGACCAAGGAAATTCAAGGACCCAAGGAGCTGGAAATATTAAATGGGTAGGTGATGACATGGAAGAGTTGCCTTAGTTTTTGTAAGTGAGAGCAGAGACACACACTAAAAAGATGCATTTTTAAGAACGACACACTAAGAACTTGGATTCACTCTGCAATACGCCACTGGAGAGAGAGAAAACAGGGAAACAGGATGGCAGCATGGACCAATGACGGTCAGCCACATGCCGGCCACTGCTGAGGCCAGCATGTCTACAAGGAGAGTCATTATTTCATATTATGTGTCTTCTTTCATGGATGTTTGAAAATTTTCATAAAAAGGTTTTTTCTTTCTTCCTTTTCTTTTCCTTTTTTCTTTATTTTTTTTAAAAAAAAAGGTTTTGAGGAGATAAAACATAATCAAGGCCAGAGGGATAGTGGGTAGGGCATTTGCCTCACACATGGCCGACCTGGGTTTGATCCCCAGTATTCCATATGGTCTTTTGAGCACTGCCAGGAGTGATCACTCAGTATAGAGCCAGGAATAAGCCCTGAGCATTGCCAGGTGGAGAAAAGGTATAAAATAAGATCAAATGCAAATTCTAGAACAGAAAAAAAAAATCTAATGACAAAGTTCAAAACTCAACAGATGATTTTAGCTTACAAAAGACACGCAAAAAAAATTAACAAATGGGAAATCAAAAGCAAATAGCCACCCCTAGCAGCAAGGTGGCCACCTCCTCAGAGCTTATTGGAAGGCCAGTGGTGACCGGGCAACTGCAGTCTCATGGGAAGAGGGGCGGTACCAGCTCGTCCTTCACGCCCTACCGAGGTCACGAGTTGACTCCCAAGAGCGGCTCTCTGGCACGGCCGTGGCTCCAGAGGCAAAAGGACTTAATCCAGACCCCGGCAGCTTGCAGCCGCCACCTCAGGGCTTATAGGAAAGCCAGGTATGAGCCGGAGGGGACGGGACAACTGCAGTCTCATAGGAAGGGGGGCGGTACCTGCTCGTCCTTCACGCCCTACCGAGGTCCTGAGTTACCCCCCACGAGCGGCTCTCCGGCACAACCATAACACCAGACACACAGAAACCAATCTCTAAATTATCTGGCTCTTTGCAGAAATCCAAAATTGCGTGGCTGCAATAGCGGCCACGCAACATTATATGATTCTCATAACCAGCTATAGAAAACAAAGTGTTTCACAATGCCTTTTCAGCAATTCTGATTGTTGGGGGGGGGGGGGGGGGAATTCTAAACAATAATGGTACATCTTTTGTCGAAATAATGAATGTAATCAATTAGAGAAGAGTTAAGTAGAAATCATCAACCTCACAGGCATTGGATGGGGTGGGAGGGGGTATATATTGGGGTTCTTGGTGGTGAAATGTGAGTACTGGTAAAGGGAATGTTGTTTGATCATTGTATGACCGAGACTTAAACCTGAAAGCTTAGTAACTTTTCCCACAGTGATTCAATAAATAAATATAAGTTGAAAAATAAATAAATAAAACTGTGAAAAAAAAAAGTAAGGTGGAGTTCATGCCCAATTCAATCAGCTAATCAGTGGCTGAATAAATAGCAGGACTCCTACATTAAAAAAAAAAAAAAAGCAAATAGCCAGAAAGCAAGGCAAAACAACGGACGATAGAGAGAAGGGCAGGGATCAGTTCTGAGTCTCAGGAGGAAAGACACACGTGAAGGGAGGGGCTGGGCGACACCCCAAGGGGTGAGGCTGTTTACCACCACCCCATGGATGGAAAAGCTCGAGGAAGCACCATCAGAAGCCACAAAGCCACGGCATCTCCCGCCTTCCAGAAAGCAATGGCGACAAGAACCTCTTAAAACTGGGGGGCAAGAAAGCGAAGAAAAGCAAACTGAGATGGATGACCAACTCCCATCCAAGAGCGAAGCAGGAGTCCGGGCCCCATCCTGCAGGAGGTTCTTCCAATCTAGGATGCTATACCCAGCCTCCGTCTCAAATATGCAGAAAGCAAATGAGCGATCCCCAGAAGACTGAACAGCAAAATGCATCTGTCACGAACATCTCTTCCTTCTTTTTCCTTTTGCTGTGGGTGTGGGCAGGAACACACTCATCAGAGATCAGGGGCTACTCCTTTGTGCACCTGAGGGTCATTCCTGGTAGCGTTTGGGGATCACATGTCGCTGGGGATCGAAACAGGTTTGACCACACACAAGCACCTTACCCCCCTGTACTCTGGCCTGTCACTAGTATTTCTGAGAGGAATAAACAAAGGTTGTTTTCAGGAAGAAGGAAAACACCCTTGGCAGAAAGCTTTAAGATACAGAAAGAAATAATAAAGAAAAAATACCAGTGAAACCAAATGAATACCACCTACCTAACAACAAAAAATACATACTGGTCTTAGAATAGACACAGAATTTTTTTTTAAATGGGTGTACCGACCAACAACACTATCTACCCAGTTCCCATTCTTCACTTCTGTCCTAACTCAGAAAGGCCTGGACCAGCCCAGCAACACTCGCTGCACACCAGGTGTGAGTGGCCTTGTGATTCAAGAGTCAGGGTCAGTGGGCCAATTTCAGGAACAGCCCCCCGAGAGGGGTCCATCGAAGCTGAGCTGCCCCACCCATCCTTCCTTCTGTGCTCTGGCACTCACTGCTTAACTGCAACCCGCAAGAAAGAGCTGCGCGTCAAGACCACCAGCAGGAGACAGGCCGAAGGAGGGAGAGTGATGTGCAGATGTTCAGAAGCATCAAGCACCTCCTGGCATCTCGTATGGTCCCCCGAGTCCCCCACCCGCACCCTGAGCACCACCAGGAGTGATTCCTGAGTGCAGAGCCAGGAGTGACCCCTGAGCATCACAGGGTGGGGCCCCAGAGCTCCTCAAAAAGCCAAGCCAAGGCCCAGTTGGCGACATCACGGGAGGGAGCACTCTCGTGCCTGCAGCCAAATCCTGTCATGCGTGAGCGGCAGAGTGTCCTGAAGCTGTTCAGGGCGAAGAACATCAAAACGGAGTAAAAGAAAAGCAAATAAACAAAAGCCCTGGGCGTTTTTATCCCGACATTTTAATTTTTGGTTTGTGTGGGGTCACATCCAGTGATGCTCAGGGGTTCCTCCTGGCTCGCACGCAGGAATGACTCCTGGCAGTGCTCAGGGGACCATATGGAATGCTGGGGACCAACCAACCCAGGGTGGTGGTGTGCAAGGCAGGCACCCCACCCACTGTTCTCTCTCTCTAGCCTGGCATTTTAATTCTTCCTCGCCTGTTCTCGGTGACCAAGGAACCGTGAGAGTTCAACCCCAAAGTAGTCACACAGCCACTGGATTAGACCAGGTTTGATCATGGGCTTTTGCCCTTTATGAGGCAGGAAATCCTCAGAAGAGTTAGACTGAGAAAAGACCACGCGAGGCACAGAAGGCTTCGTGTCCAGACTCACCCTTCTGGGTGCTGCAGCACGGAGACCATGAGCTCCACGGCCAGGGCGCCGGCGATCATGGCCAGTCCCGGCCGGCTCACGGTACACTGCTGGTCCAAGGTCCGGTCCCTGGTGGACTACAGAGAGACAGTTAGTGCCCTGGGCTTGCCTCCAGCTTCCCGGGGCAGAACCAAGCCCTGGAACAGACGCTCACTGCAGGCAAACCGCAGCCTGCCACGTTCATCCCCCAAGATACACAAGGCAGGAAACTCCATGAGCAGGATGAAAGGCGAGACGTGGCGAAGGTCCCTCACGGTCCCTCCGACGACCTCCCCTGGACTTGGCACGGTGAGGAGCAGCGCTCTGGTGGCTCTGGGTCCTGCCTGCCATTCACACGGGGTAGCTGGGGAGAGGGAGCGGCCAGGCGCCTCTCACACTGTGGGTGTCGCTGCTTCCCGAGGAAGCCTTGTGGCTTCAATGCAGATCTTTGCTGGGGCCACGCCCTGGTGGGTTCTGAGCTTCTCCTGCCTTGGGCATCACTCGGGGCAGGGTTCAGGGGCCATATCCGGTGCTAGGGATGGAACCTGTGCTAGCCATGTGCAAGGCAAAAGCCTTCCCCGCTTCTCTCTCTCTCTCTAGCCTCAGTTTTTTACTTTTTATTATTATTATTATTTTTATTTTTATCAGGATTGATGGTGCTGGGGGCCACCAGTGAAGCGTCTGCAGTGCTGGGGTCTGGCTGCGGCCCTGCTCATTCAAACCTAGTGTCCCTCGCTAAACCATATCCCCAGCCTAAAGGTGAGTGTTTCGGTTACAATACTCCTGAGTGTCCGCCCCAGACACAGGATTTTGACAGTCCAAGCCAAGAGACCGTAAACATAGAACTGGAGGCAGATGAAGGGGTTGGCAGGGATAATTCTGACTGCAAATTCTGCTCTCTGAAAATACGTGACTTCGACTGTCACTGACCCTGAAACCCTGTGAGAAACAAGGCCCAGCTGCGCATCATGGGAGTGTGACGAAGGCCACAGCTGAGGGTGGCAGGGCCCGTCCACTGAGCAAATACGACTCACTCCAGAGCAAGTCTGATGAGAAGCGGCGAGGGGAGAGAGGACAGGAAACCCCTCGGGAGTGAACCTCCGTTCTGCGAGAAGCCAATTCCCACGGGTCAGCCCAGAGAGACGGGACGGTGCCATGGAACCTGGGCCGAACAGGGCCATGCTTGCTCTACCAAGCACTTCCAAGGTAGACCCGAAGGTAGGCTGGGACTCGCAGACCCGCACAGGGAGCCGGACTCTAGATAAGCAACCGATCGTTTCTCAGAAGGAAGCACTTTCCCTCTCTCCATCCGTCCGTCCATCCCTCTCTCCCTCCCTCCTTCCCCCTCCTCCCATTTATTTTGGTTTTGGGATCACACCCAGCGATACTCAGGACCTAATTCCTGGCTCTGCACTCAGGAACTACTCCTGACGGTGCTTGGGGGACCATATGGGATGCCGGGGACCAAGGCCAGCACCTGACCTGCTGGACTATTGCTCTGGCCCCTGCCTGGGACTTATTTCTATGAAAATATTTCTCATTATTAGCCTGAAATCTGAGGACTCTGGCCTCTGCCTCAATAACCCCAGCACCCTGTGGAGGTGTTCCCAGGCCCGGGCTGGAACCCGGATCCCCACACTCCTCAGTCACCGCTGAGACTGCCCAGCACAGCGGGGACCAGCATCTGTCCTCAGGGCTCCACAAACATGACCTGGTGCTGTGGGTGACAGGCAGAGGGGCCGCGGTACACATTCTATGGTACCAGTCAGGATCCCCGGGCCCACCACCACCCTCCAAAGCCAGAGGGTGAAAGACATGAAGGAAAGAGCTGGTGGCTGCTCCACCCCCCGCCCCTCTGGGCCACCAAGAAAGTCACTCACATCTCCTGGTGCCACCACATCATTGCAGAAGTAGCAGCCGAGTTTGTGGCCGGGGATGTTGGCGAAGAGTGAGGAGCCCAGGTCGGCAGGGCCCGTGGGGTGGCTGGGGCACAGGTCACCGGCCCCCTGATGCTTAGGCTTCTTCAGGCCATGCCGCATGACCACAAACGTGTCAAAGCCGAGGGCCGCGTTGATGACCAGCTGCGGGGGACAAAGAAGCAAAGAAGTGAGGGGCCAGAGCCTGTGGCCCCCAGACACGGCCCTCGGCCACTGGCCATCTCGGACAAGGGACCAGTGTCCGGGCAGAATCGGGTTCCAGGAGGGAGCACTGGAACACGCGCGAGCTCATTAGGGGCTCTGAGTCTGGCCCCGGGCTGGACTTAACTCTCTCCTGTGGCATCGCTGGAAACTGCCAACAAACGTTTCCCATTTACAGCCATTTCCCATTTCCCTCCAGGGGCGCCGGGCAGGGGAGAGGCGGGTGCAGAAAACCTCTTCTGAAGTTCTCCCGATGCCCCTTTCTGCCCTGTGCTGCCACCTCTCTGCTCCACGTCAATCAATCCCCAAAGTGCAGCTTCAGTGAGACACCGACCAGACCCAAACGATTCTGTGTGAAATTTGTTTGTTGTTTGTTTTGGGGTCACACCCGATAGTACTCAGGGCTCAGTCCAGGCTCTGCACTCAGGGATCATTCCTGGTGGGTTCAGGGGGCCATGTCGGGTGCTGAGGATTGAAACTGGGTCAGCTGCGTGCAAGGCCAGCGTCCTACCCGCTGGACCACCTTGTCTGGCTCTGCACGAATTTTCAAGAACAATTTTCCTCTTATTTTAAAAGAACCTAACGTATTTTTTTTTTATGTTTCTGATTGTCCAGAAAGCTGGAAAGAATAAAGAAAAAAGTGGAATAATCTCAGAGAGACGCCAAACTCTCCAAGGTCTACCTGGATCATGTTTGGGCTGAGATCTCCGGGGCCCCGGAATAGAGCAAAATTGTGCGTGTAGAGCAAAATTCTTTTAACTAAACTATTTTTTAAATCATTTCCATTGTCATTTTATTGGTAACAAGCAATTAAAAAGTAAATTACTTTGTGCCTGCTCAGGGGGGCAGGCTTGGGGGGTGGGTGGGAAACTGGGGAAACTGGAAGGTAACACCAGTGGAGGGACTGGGGTTGGAACACTGAGTACCCAGAACAACTATTAGGAACAACTTTGTAAATCACAGTGTTTACATCGAATTCTGAACATTTAAAAAAAAAAGGAATAAAGGAAAAGCAAGGAAACAAGAAGCCCGCACAGTCTCACCGCTGGACACTTCCACAGAGAGTTTGGGGTTTCTCCCCCCGTCTCCCTTCCCGCTGCCCCCTCTCTGGAAAGACAGATGTACACAAGTGTGCCTAGGTGCTTGTTTATACACGATCATAACATACAACCTATCTGCACACGTGTATGTGCATCTGTGTGTGGAGATACATACAGAATCGTGTCTCTGTTCGATGTTCTCGACATGGGATATTCTCCATGCTAATAAGCTTATTTTACGAAACAACAGCCGCATGGAGGTGCTAGTCAGACAGTGGGAGGAAGACCAAGTTCCACCCCCCACCTACCCTGGAGATATATACCTTTCCCAGACGGAGTGAACGGGCAGCAGCCCCCACCCCACCCCCATCCCCACCGCCCCGGCCCATGGCCCACCCCCATCGCCCACCTTCCTCTTGCTCGCGGCGATGACGGCCGGGAGCCACCGGCTCTCCCTCGTGTCCATCAGCAGGAAAACGACGTCGTGGTCATCGATGAGCCGCTCCAGCTGCTGCACGTCCTTGCGGGCTTGCTCCAGGGTCACGTTGGAGAAGTTCACGGGATGCCCGGGCATGGGGATGCTCATGCTGAAGCCCTTGGCATTCTAGGGGACCCCAGAGAGGCGCGTGCTGGAGCAGGGGCCACCCGAGGGGCCTCCTCCCTGCATGGCCACTCACGGCCCAAACTTCCTCTGGGCACCCAGTGGTGCTGCCACCGTGCTCACGGCTGCTCCCGGGGATGGTAGTCCCAGAATCCACGGTTCAGAGGTCGATCAAGCAGGGGTACCAAGTTCCAGTTATAAAGAGGCAGTATTGGGGGGCAGTGTGGAGAGACGGCTCAGTGGGCTGCGCGGGGAGGCCCGGGTTCCACCCTCAGTACCATACACTCCCCCGAGCCAGGAGAGACCCTTGAGCCCAGGGCTCAGAGCAGCCCACAGTCACCAGGGATAGTCTCCCCCAAACCCAAAGGGAGCGGGGCAGGGGTCCCCTATCCAGGTCAGAAGAGCACTGGGGGGCAGTGTGCATCTTTGGCTCCACCCTACGATCGAGGCCAAGACCCCACATCAAAAGGTCTGCCCAGGGAGAGAGTGTAGAGAGGACAGGACACTTGTCGTGCAGAGGGCTGACCCCAGTCCCATTCCCAGCACTGCTTTAGTCCCCAGAGCACTTCCAGGAGAGATCCCAAGTGCAGAGACAGGGGTAAGCCCCGAGCACAGAGCCAGGAGTGAGCCCCGAGCACAGAGCCTAGAGTGAGTCCTGAGCACAGGTAGAAGTCACCCCTGAGCACAGAGAAAGGACTCAGCCCTGAGCACCACCAGTGTGGCTCAAAAATCAGCAAATGCCCCGCCCTCCAATCCCCTCCCCCGGGCTCATCACCTCCAACGGCAAATCTACAAGGACAATAACTGACCAACCAGGTTCACAGCCAAACTGACTCAGGGGTGCCCATTTACACAAGAGGGGTGCGGAGGGCAGAGCGTGGCTCTGCCCAGCACCCTGGGGCCTGCTCCCATTGGGGTCGGGGGGCTCCTCCAACAGGCTATGCGGGTTCCCGGCACCTGTCCCCGGCTGAGCCAGTGGGGTGAAGGCGGGTGTGACTGGCGCCCAGACAAGGCTGGCACAAGTGCTCCAGACCCCACCCACGCCCCAGCCACGGGAAGGGAGCGCATTCCGTTTGCCCAAAGCCCTCGTCCCAACGCCCACAACAGCTCAGAGCAAGGTGAGCTGACCCTTCTGCAGAGGGACACGGACTCTGCCACGCTGATGTCTCCCACCATCATGGAACCAAGAAGCCACTGAGGCCGGGACAAGCAGCTTGAGCGACAGCCACAGGGATGCCCCGGACAGGGGTCAGCGACAGGGACAGCGCCCTCACCCGTAGGACCCTCCCATGGCTGCGTTTCCAGCTCAGCTCAGCTTCCTGCTCACTGCAGAAGGCGAGTTGGGAGCAGAAGGACTCAGCACCCTTCTGAACTTCCGGAGAACTCAGGGCCTCACTGCCCGTCCCCAGGATGACCAGAAGGACGGTCCGCTGGCCACGCTCTCAGCAGGGCACATGCTTCTGCAGCCCTGGGGCCACACTGGAATTAAGCTCCAGCACAGTCCCAGGGACCATCACCGCAGACCTGAAAACCATCAGGGGACACACCGGGCAAGGGCCGAGGCCCAGGGCTCCCCCAGGCCATGAGAATCGGACTCTGTCTGCGGGAGGGTCCGCAAGCCTCGGGGTCTTCCAAAGCCCCCAGAGTCAAAGTGTGTAGCCAGGCTGAAAGAAAAAGGTTGGACAGCAGCATAGAAGGAGCCCAGGCTGAGGTCTGCCCTGAGGACAGGAAGTAGCCACACTGCCACGGGGCAGAGAACCCCAGCGGGCTCCAGCATGAGCGCCCCCCTTGCCGCGCCCTTTCCTGCCCTCCTCCCCTTGCCCACGCCCCTGCCTGGGCAGCTCCCACCTCCACCCCAAGTTCTGCCCCTTCTAGACCTTCAGGCGAACAGCGTCCCCGACCACAAGTTTGCTTCTCGCCCTGAGCACTGTGTGACAGTTCATCTGGGCGCCCCATTGTGCCCGAGTGGCAGCGGGAGCTTGGGCATCCCCACTGCTCACGGGGCGCTTTGCCCACCTCAGAGTCATGCCCACAATGCTCAGCATGCAGTACAGGACTACGGAGCTGCCCAGAGAACTTTCTGGAACCTTCTCTGCACTGCCCCTCAAGTAGGACACTCTGTCCTGCAAATTCCAGCTCTCCTGGCTACTCTGGAATCTGATCCTGACCTCCTCAGCACCCCAAGCCAATCTCGCTGGGCGACCCCCGGGGTTGGCACGAAGCAGAAAGCAGCTTGGGGTGACGGCTGGAACAAACACTTGGAAGTGCCAGCTCCGGGAGAAGCAGCCGGGCCTCGGGCCTCTGACTGCACAGGCCCTGCCTGGTCCTGTGGGTGGCACCAGAGGACAAGGAGGAGCGGGGAGGGGCCTCCTCAGCCACCCTCGGCATCGCCAGCTGCCGGAGGAAAAGCCGGGATGAGGAAATAATAGCGCAGACTGGACCCCCTGAAGCCTGAGTCCAGCCCGGCCCGGCAGGAGGCCACAGGCAGCCGGCACGCGTGGCTGAGCTTCCTCGAGCTCGTGCGACGGCCAATCCCGTCGGCACAGGAAGCTGACTCTCATCCCTTCAATGACAGGCTCAGAACTTATTCTCGATTCTTCCAGAACCTGGCATTGAGCCGGATACGTCAATCAATATGGCTGAATCAAAAGACAAACTTGACTTGTCATTTGAAAAGAATGACAAACCCAACGAATGACAGCCTCGGGCCTGCAGGGCAAACGAGGTCACCGGTTACCGAACCTTCGAAACTACTTCTCAATAAGGGCTGGAGTGATAGTGCCGCAGGGAGGGCGCTTGCTCTGCACGCAGTCAACCCGGGTTTGATCCCCGGCACCACCTAGGGTCCCCTGAGCACTGCCAGGAGTGACCCCTGAGTGCAGAGCCAGGAGTCAGCTCTGAGCCTCACCAGGGGTGGCCCCCAAACCAAACTAAAATTAAATAAACAGATAAAGCAAAGACATCTGAAATGATCCCCTGCCCCCGCGCCTGGCTGTCCTCGCTGGAGCCCCTTGGAGGGGAGCGGGTTGAGTTTCCCTCCCCGCCCTGAACAGATCTCCGGCAGCCAAAAACCTCCAGAACCAGCCACCACCATGCTGAGACCACTCTCCACACACATGAAGGTACCAGCAGAGGAACAAAGGCATGCGGGTCCCGGGGCTGAGATCTCCAAGCCTGCTCGGATTGGGGCTGAGCATCCTCCACCCAGATCCTCCATCATCCAGTAGGCAGGGGTCACATCCACCAACTGGCCCCCTGGCGCCGTGTAATCCCATCAACGGCCAAGATCCAGAGACTATAAAACCCAGCTCCCGGAAGGGTGCGGCCGTGCAACATCTTATTATCTCATTCTTACTTTGGACAAACTGGCAGGCTACCGAATATAGCCTGCCCACACGGCAGAGTCTGGCAAACTCCCCATGGCATGCCCAATATGCCAAATACCAGTAACAATGATGGGTCTCATTCTCCTAACCCTGAAAGAGCCTTGAATATGGCACTTGTTAAAATCTCAGGGCTAGGACGAAGGAGACGTTACTGGGGCCTGCTCAAGGCAATCAACGAACAACAGGATGATCGTGATCTGAAATGAACCATCTACCACTGACTAACCAGAAAAATTCTGAGAAAGTCGGGCCAGAGAGACAGCACCAGGTGCAGGGGGCAGGTCAGAAGTTCGAGTCCCAACCTCGCATGGGGGAGCAGTCCCACTATTGCGGAGCTGGGAGTATCCCTCAAGCTCCGCTGGGCATGGTCCAAAATAAAAAACAACAAAAAGAAACCTTGAGAAAGTCTTTTTGTTTTCCCCCGTCCTCTGAGAGGGCAGAGCCTCGTGGGGTTCTTAAGTCTAGGCAGATGCTGCAGAGTCACCTGCTCCGACCTCTGTCAACCTGATTGATTAGGCAGGCGGGACGCACAAGCGCTGTTCCTGGATGACCTCAGGAAACCTCACAGGATCCTGAATCAAGAGAGTGGAACAACTTGTCTTGGATTCCCTGGTGGTTTGCAAGTCAGCGATGCAGTTCAGCAATAAGCAGAGGCCACATCACAGGGTTGCAGACAGTTGCCATCTAGATTATTCCTTGGCACAGACGGATGGACAGATGGACGGGTCCGTTCAGTGTCACAAACCTGTTCAAAGTGACTCTCAAGCAGCGCGGGGAGGAAGGAAAGTGAAAAACCTCCCTCCGCACTGCGGGGAGCCCCGTGGGAACGGGCGGGTGAATGAGGACACACCCACCCCTGATCTCAGCTCAAACTCAGGATGACACGTCACATTTAGAACCCCCCCCCCCCCCGCACCCCCACCTCCCCACAGCCCCTGTTCATTATTCATTCACTTCCACCGTGATCTGGGAGTTGGTTCTGGTTTTAGTCCCTGTCCCCGCCAAAAAGAAACAGGTTCAGTGACCCGCTCCGGGACCAGATGCACAGACAGAGACGCCTGAGTCTCTTTTCCCAAGACCACTGGGCCGCACAGCCCAAGCGGGAGGGAGGCACTTTCCAGAGCAGGCCAGGCCCTCCTGCCCGCTACGGCGCCAACCTACCACTCCGGGGAAGATCTTCTGGAGCCGGAGTGCAGCGGCCGGCGCTTTGGCCTTGCCGCCCCCCAGGCAGTCTTCGAACTCGTACAGCGGCTGCCTCACGGGGTTGGAGTAGGAGATCTTGGCGTTGTCCACGAACGTGATGTGTCTGACGCCCCAGCCCTGCGCAGAGACAGATCAGAGTACTTCCGGTGAATGTTTTACAGGGATCGTGGGAGTGTGTGTTGCAGGGGGGAATGGGGAGAGGGGTGGGGGGGTGGGGGGTCTCAAACTCCCTCAGAGGAGATTTTGTTTGTTTTTGCAGTAGAGCAGTTCAGAAACTTCAAAATAAAGAACACTTGGGAAAACTAATGGTGCAGATTCAGTTTCTGATCAAGAGAGCATCAGCTTGTTGGCTTCTCCGAACCGACGTTGTGATTCTAAGCCCTGGGGTGCCTGCAACTTCATGATGGTTGGCAGAGGCGCTGGAGCGAGCGGTGGATGAGTTCCCCTAAGGATCAGCTGCTGTTGTCTGGAAAGAATGAAAAATGGCCCCACCATGTCCTCGTTCTCCTTAACGGGTAATTAAGCACTAGAAACAGCTCATTTTAAAACTCACTTAAAGCTTGAGTTGACTCTTGGGAAAAATGACTTCCAGGATTTTTGCCTTTCTAGAATACTGTAGATTTTGGGGGTGGGGATGGGGGTGGGTTCGGGCCACACATAGTGCCGGGGTCTACCCCTGGCGCTGTGCCCTGCGGTTGCTCCGAGCAGAACTCACGGACCACGCAGTGTCGGGGATCAAACCCAGGTTGGCTATGTGCAAGGCCTTAACGCCTGGACTCTGCCTCTGGACCAATATCACAGATTCTGTACAGTTGCTCTGAGAGGCAAACATTTATTTAATTACTTTGAATGCCGGGGACGGTTCCCTCTTCTCATAAACGTTCTACACAGTTTCACCTCTAGCCGCAGCTCCTATCAAGTCTTAAATGGCTGTACAATCCAAAAGTCGGGAAGGATCTCCAGAATCCTTAGTCTAACGAACGACTTTGTCTTACAGACACGGAAACAGAAGTTCAGCTTAATCAGACTCATGGTAGGAAGCAAATGAGCTCTCAAGAGCTCTGACCCAAGGAGGAGAAATCCTCAGACATCTGACTGGGGCTGGAGGCTCAGTAATCCGCCGACGAGCACAGGGCTCGAAGCACAGCCCTCCACCAGCAGCTACAGAGCCGAGCCATCTGCCCTTGCTCCTGCCCTAATGGCCTTCCACAAGGGACTCAGGAACTCAACTCCAGTGAGGGCTTCTGGCAAACTTAACAGTCCCCCAAACCCAACACTTGCTTTCAAGACTTGAGAATGACAGAGGGGCCGGAGCCATAGTACCGCGGGTAGGGCATTAGCCTTGCAGGCGGCCGACCCGGGTTCAATCCCCAGCATCCCTATGCTCCCGGACCACTGCCAGGAGTAATTCCTGAGTGCAGAGCCAGGAGTCACCCCTGAGCATTGCCAGGTGTGACCCAAAGAGAAAAAAGAAAAAGTCAGAGCCCTGCTTTTGTTTTGAAGCCCACTGGAAACTTTTTGGTCTCTTTGCCCAGGTTAATAGGCTACTTTCATGGGTAAGTGACCTACCATGGGTGAAGAAGGAAAAGGCATGAATGAGACGGGAGGAGGACCGAAAGCCAAGGGGCTTGGTTTGGGGATGCTTCTTTCTACAGACGGCTGAGTGGCCAGTAGGCAGTGTGCCGGGTGGGGGGATAAAGCCAGACATCCGTGCCCAAGCTTACCCAGGCCCTGCCAGCGGGCACTTAACTCTGCTTCCTAGAATGTTCTGCAGTTAGTTCGAATGGCTATTCTGGAGAGAGGGAAGAAAATGACAATAACTCATGCTAGTGAGGATGTGGGCGTGGAAAAAGAAAAACAGATCCTATAGGTTTGGAATGTAAACTGGGAACCGAGGTCGAGCCTCGTGTGCCTTATGTGATCCGTGACACCACCGGCTTCCCAAGCAACACCAAGTGAAGCTCTGGAGGCCCCCAAAACCCCCAGATGCGACCTGGAGGCCTCCCAAGCATCACTGGGTGTGGCCTAGGATCCTGGCCCAGCAGGCCCCGAGGGGCACCCTGGACCCCACCATGCTGGGCGTGATGACAGAGTACCACTGGGAACGGCCCCCAGACCCCCAAAGCACTGCTAGGGAGAAAATGGCCATTCCCCCAGGCCCCCCTACTTTTTTTTTTCCTGTCAAGCAATGTGGCAATATACTTCTAGATGTTTGTGTCCTGTGACCTAACTCTGGAAATCAACAGTAGGAAATAGCCTGAAATACTGACAAAAAGGCAAGTACAGACCTGTTATCTGCAGTAAAACCAATAGTTGGAGAATATTGAAAACAATGCTGATGCCCAAGCTTGGGAAATGCCTCAGGAAATGCCCGGGGAAATTATGTTTCATTATATGAGAAAGTACATTCGAAACCATTAAAAAGCCTTTATAAGCATCCTTAAAATATATATATATATATATATGGAAGTGTTTACAATGTTAATTGATAAAATCAGGAACACAATTATATACCAAATTTGATTTTAAAAGACGTTTTAAGGCACTGAGATGAATAAAGTGGCAGCAGAAGTAGGAAAATGGGTGTCACCCTTTCCTTTCCTGCTTTCTGAATTTTGTACTTTACAAATTTCCTACAATGCATTTCCACTGACTTTATAATGTCAAAAATGTTAAGAAAACCTAGGAACCCAATTCTGGAAGCTGGGAAAAGAACAATAAAATCCCACAAAATAGGAAGAAAGTCATAAAAGTAGGTCTGAACAAATCTGAAAGCAAAACACAGAACTCATAAATGATCGAGAAAGATTTCTCACAAGACAAATTAAATAGAAGAGTTTCTCTGGCAAGTCTCAATAAGAGAAAAAGAGAAAATCATAGACATACATTATGCATGCGGAAAGATGAAAAGAAATCAGATGAGATTTAAGACAAGAGAATACCATAAATATTCTATGTCAATTCATTCTTAATTTTAGACGTAATAAATGATAGCCTAGGAAAACAACTACAATGACTCAAAAGTATTATGAAATCTAAAAAAAGCATCGTGAAATATAAAAAAGGTGAAACAGAGGAACATTTATGAAAGTTCCCAAAGATTCCTTCCTTTCCTGGCCCAAACCAAATTCCAAAAGTTAACTACTGTGTTTCTAACTCAGTATTGCCAGGCCAACAAGGACCACATAAGCATCACTTACCTTGCCCGAGAACATTACTCCGCTGTTAAAAACACAGAAAGTGTCTATTTTACCAAGCAAGCGTAAGTCAATGTGATTCATGAATACAGATGTAAAATTAAAAAAAATCAATCGTTACTAATCGAATCCTACAGTATATTAGCTAAGATACTACAAAAATAAGAGTTCAGGGATTGGAGAGACAGTAGAGTAAGGCGACTGCCTTCCATGCGGCTGACCCGGGTTTAATTCCTGGCAGCCCATAAGGTACCCTTTTCATTTAAGGGCAGAGGGGGACCTTATATAAATTAATTCTGCCAGGAGTAATTGCTGAGCACAGAGGACAAGAGAAAAATAGTGAAGCTCACTATCGTTCCTATATCCAAGTAGCAGCCAACTGAAATACTGAGTGGGAAAATATATTTCTAAAAGAAAGATATTCGCTAAGGGGCAGAAGGGATAGTCCACAGGGAGGGCGCTTGCCTTTCATGCAGCTGACCCGGGTTCAACCCCTGACACCCCAAAATGGTCCCCCGAGCTCCACCAGGAGTGACCCCTGAATGCAGTCAGGAGAAAGCACTGACCACCGTCGGGTGTGGCCCAAAACCAAAAAACAAAACAAGAAAAGAAAAATATTCATTAAGTGTGCAGAAATAAACCAAGACACAGGCAAGACTATATAAAGAAAACGTTGCTGACCACAGATGATCTAAGTCCTTTAGGAGATGGACAACGCTTCCAGGAACTGAGGGTCACCTACTTCCAACCCACGCACCTGGCCCCCGAGGATGTTCAGAGAAAAGTCCCACAGATTTATAAGGGCAGAAGCAGCTTCACCTCGGCCAGAGTGGGAGCTCCACGGCCGAGGCACAGATGATCCCTGCTGTCTCACGGGTACCACATGGTCCCCAAGAAGTGACTCGAGGGGGTGGCCCTCCCCACCTCCCCCCTGCAAAGAACAACAGTAAAAAAACCCCACAAAAACAACAACAACAAAAACTCAGTTCATTTCAGGACCGGTTGGAATGCATGAGAACCTGGGCCTGAGTCCACTCAAATGCTCACTTCAACGACATCTCTAAAGGGCGATATGGGGGTGGGGCAGGAGGGAAACTGGGGACACTGGCGGTGGAAAATGTACGCTGGCAAAGGGACGGGTGTATGATTGAGACCCAGTGGAACTGTGCATCTCACGGTGATTGAAAAAATAAACAAAAGGGACTGAAAGGGGAACTATGAGAAAGCGACCTTATAAAATGAGAATTTACTGTAAAGGCATGATTTGGATATGTACAGAGGCTGCAATTATCTTTCTACTAAGTTAAAAATATAAACCTGGGCTGAGAGCGAGCTGGGTAACCCAGGCCTTGCACACAGCCAACCCTGGCTGGATCCCCAGCATGGAATATGGTCCCCAAGAACCACCAGGGGGGCAAGCCCTGAGCACAGGGTCCAGCGTGAGCCCTGAGCACCACCCCCAAGCCAAATGCAAACCCGAAACCAAAGACAAAGACAAGTACAGGGGCCTGATCCCATTTTCGTAAATATCAATAACAGCCAAGAGGCAACTTGGATTTCCACCTGCCCAAGAGGACTTCAGGGGAAGCTTGGACTATCCACTCAAAGTGGGGTTACTGAGGAGGGTGTAGTGAACTGGGGGTCAGACAGGGATGGGGCAGACAATACTGATATGGCTGGCTCGCCGAGACTGAAGAGAAGCTGACTTGACACAGGTGAGGGGCTCGGGCTGCAGGGGTGGGGGTGGGGAGGCAGGGGGAGGTGGAGGGAAGGTGATGGGGGAGAACTGCCTTCACCGTGTGGAAAAAGAGCACATGTTCCTTCCAGACTGAGAAGAGGAAAAAGAGAAGGGTGAGGAGGGACGAGGGCCAGAAGGGGCGGAGGGTAAGGGAGATGAGAGGTGGAGCCAGGGCTGGCGGGTGCCAGCGAGCATGCCAAGACTTACCATCAACGTCCTGGCCACATTACAGCCCAAAGTCCCAGCGCCCAGGAGCAGACACTTGGCCGACACAACCTTGTCCAGGTCCAACGTGGGGACCAACCTCCAGCACATCAGCTTGAGGTTCAGGTCCACAGAGGACTCAGCCAACCTGGAGACACAGGAAACGGGGAGCACTGACTGATGTGCCCACCTGGGCTCATCACTCCTGCCCAGGGCCCCTGAGGCCCCTTCAGCGGTGCAGACCCCAATGCTCGGGCCAGGAGTGCAGGGGTGGGGCCCTCCGGGGGCACTGGGGGAACCCCGTGGCACACCCTGCGATGCTGAGGCCCCCCAAGGCAGCACCAGAGGTACCCCGAGGCCATGCTGTGCTGGGGATCCAACTTGGGGCTTTGTTCACAGGCCTACAGGTCTCTGACCCCGAGCCACACCCCGGCCCAGGCCTGTTCTCAGCGACAAAGCAGCTCTGAGGAAACGAGAGACAAACACTGGGGAAATCAGGATTGTGGGAGGAACATGCGGCAGCTTGTGGGCCGCTGGGAGGGGAAAAAACTCCCCCCGGCCCCCTGGTTTCTCTGGGGCCACCGATCAGACGCTGAGTCTCCCAGTGCTCAAGGGGGAAGGGAAGCGGATGCCGGGTGGCAAGGAAGAGACTCTACTGTGGGGGTGACTTTCAGAATCCCTCCCAAGGCAACACGGCTTCCAGGTCGTCTCAGCGGGGTACACTGAGGTGACTTCCTTCAACACCTCAGATGTCCCTTAAACGCTGGCCTCTTTGTCATTACTAGAAACACTCACTGTTGGCTAAAGGGACAGATTTAGAGGTCTCACAGGCAAGGCGACTGTGCAGGTCACAGTCCGAGGGTCTGGGCCAGAACACACTCGAATGTCTAACAGCTGCACAGGGGTGGGGGACACCCCTGCTCCTACTCTCCCGACCAAACCCCAGACGGATGAACCCACACACGGCACACACTGGGCCCAGCGGCCCCGAGAACAGCCCCAAGACCTACCTTTTGGGGTCCATGCACTCACTGAGGTTCACCATCCTCGGGCCCAGGCCCCCCTTCTGGTTCTTCTCCCAGCCCACAGCTTTGGGGCAGTCTGCAGGCGAAGGAGAGGAAGTTCACCGAGAGCGGAAAGGATCCATTCGCCCCTGGGGACACCCACGCTGGGACCCCAGGCCTGGGGTGCAGCCACTCATCACCCCCACAGGACCATTCCGAGAGTTCAGGCTCACAGGGGTCCCCAGAGGAGCCCTGACTCCCCACACTGCCTCAACGTCTGTGGCTGAGGCTGGTGCTGGAAAGACCATGAGCTGTGGGCGCAGCTGCCCTCCGGGAGAGGCCTGGTGGGCGCAGACCCCTGCCCGCCCCCATCTGTGTGGGCTGTACCCCCAGGGCCCCCAGACACCCCCTCATGCTCCCTTCCGGGTCCAGCCCTTCTTTGCTGACTTCTCAGCCCTGGTGGGGAGCTGGGGGGGGGCCCAGGCCGCAATTCTCAGGAGTCCCAATCCCCTGCTGAAAGCCACACAGTGACCCCCAGGCAGGGGAGTCTCAGTGCCCACGACCCGCCACCCAGACGTGTGGCTTGGGGGCACAGGCGGGCACCACAAGGATTCGGCTCTGTCTGGATCCCTGTGCAACTCCTTCCTCAGCCCTGACCCAAAAGGATGCTGATGGACATGACCCAGCTCTGCAGCTTGGGAAATGTGCCTGAAAAATCTCACTGCCCCATAGGGGACCCCATTCTGCCCTCTCTTACACCCCACCCCAGCACCCCCGTCCCTCTTATCCCCTTCAGAGTCCCTGAAATCCACCGGAAGCCACAGCCAATGTCGCTTTCACGAGTCTCCAAGGAACAGGAAGTCCGGGGCTCAGTGGGAAGGCGTGAAGGGCTGTGGGCACAGGGCTCAGGCTGCTGTCCACGGGGCGACTCTCCCTCTGAAATTCCTTTCACCAGCTCTACCTTCCTGGCTGGGCAAATGTGTCTTCTTAGGGGGATGGGGCATTGGGGCCACACCCAGCTGACTCCTGACTCTGTGCTCAGGGATCACTTCTGGGGGGCTCAGGAGACCACATGTGGTGCCACGGATGCAACCCGGGTCAAAGGCCTGTTATGACAGGACACCCTCGGACTGGGCCAAGGACAATGAAGATAGTAAAGTTTCCACTCAGGCCTCTACTATCTGCTTGTTCCAGGAGGAATGTACGGGCCCGAGTTATGAAACAGATGGTTGTCACGGGTCCGGACTCAGCCCTCGGACCTGGATATTGCGTGAAGCCCGGAGCGGGCACTGACGTAAACTATGACCTTCAAATCGGCTGTAACGGCCGACTTGGGCCTATGTAAGTAACCCCTGTACCTTGGGTCGGGGTCTGGCCTCTCACACGGGACCTACACGTCGCTGTGTGCGTGTGCAAGACTAGCCAGCCCAACAAACTCCCTGCTTGATGACTGCATTCCTGTGTGGTCCTTGTCTGCAGTCGGAGATCCAGAGCCGTGCCCTAACAAGGCCTTACCCCCGAACCATCTCTCCAGCCACACCTTGGGAACTATAAAGCTTTTGGCCTGTGTGTGTATGTTTGTTCTGTTTTCGTTTTCAAACAATTTTATTTAATTTGGGGCCAGACCCAGCAGTGCTCAGGGCGGACTCCTGGTTCTGCACTCAGGGATCACTCATGGCTGGTTCGGAGGACCACATGGGGTGCCGGGGATGGAACCCGGTTGGCTGCATTCAAGGCAAATGTGCCATCTCTAGGGCCCCTGGTTTGTTTTGTTTTGTTTAACAGCACTGCTCAATATGAAATAAATGTGTTCTATGCCTACCAAGGGGGCAGGCTGGGGGTGGGAGGGAACCCAGGGAGAGGGCAGTAGGGCTGGTTTTGGAACACTGTATGCCTGGAACAACGCTCTTACAAGCAATTTTGTCAATCACAGTGTCAAAATAAAAATAAATTTAAGGGGGGGAAAACCCCACAGATAAAAATAAGTAAATATATAGCATTGCTCCAGGACCGGGAGGCCCTGGTTTCCTTGCAGTCTTTCCTTTTGATGTAGGCATGTAGATAGGGAAGGGCCCATGCCAATGGAATTCCCAGGAAGAAATAAAACCAATAGCCTGAGGCTGCAAAAATTCCACCTTTCAGACACAGGAACTAAGGCCTGATAAGGCTTCACCTGGCCCAGAGACCCCAAGTGGAACAAAGGCCAGGAAAGGAATTTCAAAGGGGACCATCCACCACTACGAACTTTACCCCCTTGGCAACCACCATAACGAACTCTTACCTAGCTGCAAAGCCCCAGGTGGGGCAGCTTGGGTAAAGCCTATCAAAGCCACCTTGAACTAAGGAAGGGCGTGCATATGCTGCGCCCATGTGCTGCTTGTGCCCACATGGCCAAGCACATGTGGCGCCCGCATCTCCCACCTTGAGCCATGTACTGGGGCTCTCTCCGTCTCTGGAGAAACCCTCTTTCTCTCTTGAGCGTGTTATTCCCTTCGCTCTCCCTCTTCCCCTTCCTAAAAGCCTCCTAATAAAACCTGCTTTTACTTCACCGCTCATCACCCCCTGAAATTCTCTTCTGCGAACTCGGGCAGAGAGCCGCCTGGGGGCCTCCTACTTCACTGTCTGGGCCAGCGCAGGCCCATGGGGACCCAGGAGCCATTGACTCGCAAATGCTCCCAGGCTGCAGCTTGGCCATGGGAATCACCCACTGCAAGAAGCCAGGAAACGAAGCCCGGGCTGGCAGCTGACAGGCACTCTGGGGCCCTTCCTCCATCTTAATTCACAGCAACAAAACGGAAGCCATCCAGATCCAGTTGCATTCTTAGTTGTTAACTTCAATGTTATCTCTCCATGGCAAGGGGGTTGGGGTGCAGGGGATGGGGGAGCCGTCTCAGGCAAGCAACTCCTTTATATTTTCTTGGATTTCCTCTCTACCAATACGCTGAAGACACGTTTCTCTGCATGCAGCACTCTCAACAAGGAATTCACATTCAGTCTCGTCCTGGAACTGGGAACTCAGGCCCAAGTTTCCTCCTCTCTCATGAAGTACCGCCCGTCTCAGGGAAAAGACCTCTGCACCCCAAGGTGCAGCCACTTCTAAGTGGCCTCACCTTCAGAGATGCACAAACAGACACACAGACACACCCACACATGCACACACTCGTGCCCTGCTTGACAATAAGGAGAAGTATACTGTATGTGGGTCACAGCCACTGCCCACTGCCCCATACAGTCCCACGGGCAGAAACCCTCCGAGTTAGGGAGAAGGTGGTTTTGGGGGGCAGTGGGGCCCTGTCCGCAGCTGAGGTGCAAACAGAAGGCCCAGCCCAGAAGGGAACTAAGGGAGGGCATCTGCCCTTGGCTGTGTCCCCCTGTGGCCGGAACACCCCACAGCAATGGACAGTGGACCTGAATGCATCAGTTGCAGCAAAGGACAAACTGGGATGTCCAGGGTGACATGTCGCCCGAGACCACAGAGATGTGGGCGCCTGAGAAACAGCACAAGGTGCCCCCCACCCACATGAACGCCTCGCCCAGGACATTCATCATCTTCCCTGGGAGCAGAGACCAACAGAGTCACCTGAAGGGAAATAAGGCAAGAGGATCTGCCCTTCCGCTATACGGAACTCCCTAAAGGAAGCAGCCACTCGGCTCCGTGCCCGCAGCTTCGGGGGGGAGCCCTGAGCCATGCGCCCGCCTGCTCGGGCAGCACAGTCAGGAAACAGGCTCCCGCTGGGTGGCAACTTTCCTGCAGGCTGACTCTGGGCTATGGCCCGAGTTCGCGACCGCAGCAGCGGTCTTAGGAGGCGCCAGCAGAGGGCGCTGCACCCCCTGCAAAGAGCCGAGCTGAAGCCGGTGTATCCCAGCAGCTTCCTACTGAGCCTGGACAGGGCACAGGACTGCAGGGCCGCCACGCCACGCCCAGAGCCCTGCTCGGACCTCCTCGGCCAACACTGCACCCCGGCAATGCCAGCCCACAGGAGACTGTCCACAGTCCCATATAGCATGCACACACACACATCCTCACAGACACACACACACATACACAAACCCACACAGAGATGTACACAGATACACACATTCACAGATGCACAAACACTCAGAGAGACACACACACACACACCCTCACACAGACACACACACATATCCTCACACATAAATGCACACAGACACACAGACCCTCACACAGAGATACACATATACACACACACATAGAAACACAGACACACACACACACACTTCACACAGATACACAGACCCTCACAGAGATACACACACACAGAACATCACACAAAGATGCACATACACACAGATACACAGACCCCCCCAGACACACAGACATATCCACCCCCACACACACAGAAACACACACACCCTCACACAGCGATGTACACAGACATACAGACCCTCACACAGAGACACGCACAGATATATATATCCTCACACACATATACACACACACACCCTCACACAGAGATGCATAACTCATACCCTCACACCCTGTCACACAGACACACCCCTCAGCCCACTCTCTGACACACACAGCCTCACAACATACCCTCACACACCCACATACACAGACACACAGACACCCCCTTAAACAGAGATGCAGATACACATACCCTCACACCCCTTTAGACAGACACACCCCTCACACACACAGACACACAGCTTCACTACAAACCCTCACACATCCGCACACTTACACAGACACACACCTCACTCACACACACCCTCTCACAACCACACCTCTTCACACAGACACACAACTTTAAGGCACATGGGATTGGGCAAAGAATGCAATGTGCTTGGAATTTCGTGGATGAACGTCACAGGGACGGCCGGGTCCTTCTGGAGTGTGCGCTGGGCTGACACGCCCCTGGGAGCGTGATAAATCAGCACTTCTTAAGCTCTCAAGAAGCGCCAGCCCAGCCACCGTGTTCTGTTCTATGTCTGCTACGTCCCCTCAGCGTCCTCAGCTAGGACGCCCACGGTGGGGAACACAGGGGCCTTATTAAGAGAACCTAAGGTGGGGGCACCTGTGTTTCGACCGAATAGGGGTGGGAACTGTCTACATGATGCGTCTGTGCACCAAGGCGCATGCGTGCACACACAGACACACACACATTCACAGAAAACCACGGTGGGCTGCCTGTGCCAGGGCTGGTGGCTCGTGAGGGAGCAGCGACACCCTTCATGGGAGCCTCAGGCCACACTCAATAACCGGGTTGCAGACTCTGGGGGGTTTTGTTGGTTTCCTGTTTGGGGGACACCGAGGGATGAATCCTGGTTCTGTGCTCAGGGATCACTCCTAATGGGGCCCAGGGGACTGGATGGGGTGCTGGGGACGGAGCCGGGGTTAGTCACACTGTGAGCCGTGTCCTACCTGCTGGCCTCTCTCTCTCTGGCCCAGACTGTACGTGAAGCAAGAGCAAAAGCCCGGAAAGCCATACCCGAGGGAGCTCTTCGAGAAGGATCTCTGCCTCTGCTCCAGCCTGAAAGGCCACACTGGCCCTGCTGCCCCACTGCCCTCCCCGCTCCGGTGCCCACCTGCCTCTAGAGGAGACGAGAGAGAAACAGCGTTACCTGGGCTGAACGCCATTTCAGGAAGCTTCACCTCGAAGACGATGCTGTGTGCCACGCCTCTGACGCCCTGCAGGGTGCGGTCCCGGAAGCAGAGGACTTCCACGGACTGGGAAATGCCACTCCTGGCACCCGCGTCGGCATTTAAGGAAGAGAAAAGAGCTTGGGTAAAAACCTCGGCAGCTGCAGAGAACCCAGTGACCGACCTGGCATCTCCCTGCCATCCGGGAGGCGGGCCTCTCTCCGCCCGGAGACTCCAGCACCCCCAAATCGCCCCTTGGTCCCCGCGCTTAGAGGCTGCAGCCCGAAGGGGTTCGACTTCTCCCTTCCTAATGGCACCGCCCATGAGACGCTCTGACCAATGAGCCTTAAATGCAGGCGGGCAGTCACGTGGCATCAGAAAGAACCTCGACGACACTGCTGGGCCCTCCAGGGCCTTTCTCCCCCTCCTATCCAGTGGGGGTCCACAAGCCCTGGCCTCAGGGGGGCACACAAGGCACCCCCTCCGCAGCCAGGCGTCAGGGAGCAATCTCTGTGAACTTCCTCCACGCATCATTCCCGTTTCAGTCCAGCACTGTATCTCACACCTTCTCTTGAGGCTTGACGTAGGTGAGAAACCCTAACTCTAAAGGGCCGGCCTCTCCCAGCATGGCACCCACCGGTCCCTGGCTCCTCATTTCCAGCCAGATGCCGCGCACAGTCCTTCGGGCCTGTGAAATTCACGCACGCGGACACACACGTGTCGGCAGCTCCTGCAGATTCTTGGTTCCGCGGTGCTTCGGGGCACTGCCCAGCCAGTTTCCTGCTCACCCCCCTGGGGAAGGACGTGCAGGGCCAACCAGGCCGGGGCTCCTGAGAATAACGGTGCGATAAACATTCCTGTCCGTGGGGGTCACCTCAGTCTGGACACTGCCGCATGTTTCACTCGTGAGCGAAAGATCGCTCAGCTACAGGGAGTTGTGACTCCACTGAACAGCACCCAAAGTGTTTCCCAGCACTGCTGGGGAGCTTGACTCCCGCACCCGGCCACTGGGGCACTGCCAATGCCCAGGGCCACTGCGGGGAGCTCACGATTCAACTCACTGTCTCTATTAACGGGCAGGGTCTGGCTGCATTTCGTTTCCTGGGTGACTACGATGCTGAGGATCTCTTGGAAAGCACAGACGCCTTTCGGCTACCCTCTGGCTCATGCATGTTAGGGTTAGGACTGCAGGAGGCTGAGGCCCACCGGGAAACCTTTCCTGGAAGTGACCCGGGCTCTCTCTGAAGGGGGCTCTCAGGGCTGAGACCCTCTGGCTGCTCGCTCTGCTCTCCTCTGGAGCCCCAGGCTCCAGGACAGACCTGCACGGGGCCGCCCCCAAGGGAAGCCAACACACGACCTAGTCTCTGTGTGTATGAACTATCAGTTTCCAGCCCAGCAATGGGCAACTTCAGCTGGGAAAACAAGACAGATTTTCCTAAACACACTGTTAAAAGCAGGGGCTAGAGCGATAGCACAGCAAGTAGGGCGTTTGCCTTGCACGCGGCCAACCCGGGCTCGATCCTCAACATCCTATATGGTCCCCCGAGCACCACCAAGAGTGATTTCTAAGTGTCAGAGCCAGGAGGAAGCCCTGAGCATCGCCGGGTGTGACCCAAAAGGCAAAAAACAAAAGCAAAAAAACCCAGAGTACATATGTGTTCTTTCTCTCCCCCTCTCTTTCCCTCTCTCTCCCTCCCTCCCTCCTCCTCCTCCTCTCCCCCTCTCACTCTCTCCCCCTCCCACTTCTCTCCCCCTCCCACTCTCTCCCTCCTCTCTCTCTCTCCTCCCTCCCTCCCCTCCCCCCTCCCTCATCCTTTCCCTTCCCCTCCTCCCTCCCTAAATACCATCTGTGCGCTGCAAGGACCAGAAAGTTCCTCAAAGGCCATCCCGGGTACTGGGCCAGGTTGCAGGGATCATAGACACCAATAGTTATCTGTGAAGAGAAAGACTGTTTGAGTCAGGCTTCCAGTCAGACTCAGGACAGACACACTGTGAGCGCTGCTTCTTCCCTTCCAGGGCACCAAGGCTGCACGAGGACACAAGGGCAGCATCAAGGAGCTTATCTGAGACAGAAGAGCTCGTTCCTGGGGCAGCAAACACCGCTGACACCCAGGGTCTTGCAGGCAAGGCAGGGACACTGACGAGGAAGGAAGGCTGGCTGGAAGGCAGGGGCGGACTGTGAGAGTCCCGTGCTCAGAGGAACAGACAGCTTGGAGGCTGCCTAATGAGTCCGTAATGCAGATATTGCGAGAGGGAGCGCGGGAACAGACTAAGCTCTTGGTGTGGCTGATACGTTTCCTGCCATCCCTTCCCCTCCATGCCCAAACCGTCCTCAACTTTGGAGCGGATGTCCTTAGAGGAAAATGTTGCTGCCCTCTGTTTCTAGAATGCTTTGTAAGCAGTCTGCATCTTTCTGGTTGTCTCTCTCTGTCTCTGTCGGTCTCTGTGTCTCTGACTCTCTGTCTCTCTATCTCTGTCACTGTCTCTCTCTCCTTTGAAAAGACAATGAGCTTCCAGTTTTGGATTTCTATTGCAATTTTTCAACAAAAGGGATCTTGACTTCTTGGACCCGGGGCTAATCCAAGGGTCGAGGCAGAGAAAATGCAGGTGGGAAAAATATACACTCGGGTGCACAGACAGACAGCAAGGGGTGCGCAGTCACCCAAAGCACAGGCCATGTGCAAGACACAGGCCGACAACGGGCTCTCCACAGCCAAGGTGGGCAGCAACATGAATGCGGGGAGCTAGCGCCCACCCCAAAGCAGCAAACAGGGCCTGTGAGCCCGCACTGATGCAGACCAGGGACAGCGCAAGAAGGGTGTGGAGGCAAAGGGATGTCCCCCCCACCAAAGATTCCCAACATCATGTGGAGAAACGGGACAGCTTTACAGCGGGGCGACGACACCCACCTCCTCACGGCCAGAGTCCCCTCCCCCCCAGCAGACATGCCATGTGGCTCCGGGTCTCCGGCAAGCCCGGAAGGGCACCAAGCACTTCCCCAGACTCCCCACCTCGGCCCAACCGCGCCCCAACTAAGGGGCACGACACCAAGGGGAGCTGAGTCCCAAAACGGCCCAGCTGACCAACACAAAGAAGCCTGAGATGTCACAGACAGGGACCATGCCCCCCCACCCCCGCCCCACGTGGCTCTGGCTGGGAGCCCAGGCAGAATGGGTGACGTCGGAATTAAGTCGAGAGTTTAGTTAATAAGAAGGAACTGGCCTTGGGACCCATTTGGAGGAACATTAGAGGCAGCAGCAGAGAAAATGGACCCTGGGCAGCTCTCGTGTAAATCTGAATATGGTGCCCAGAAAAACACGAACGGGTCAAAAGACACCAGGCATCAGACAGCAGGAGCAGGAGAGAAGTGATTCCACCCTCTGCGACGTAGATACACAACAGAGTTAGTGAGTGCTAGCTGGGTGAGGGGACGGTGGATGGAGGGAGAGATGGAGGGAGGGAAGGAGGGATTGAGGGATGGAGGGAGGGATGAAGGGATAGAGGGAGGAATGGAGGAGGGATGGAGGGATGGAGGGAGGGGGAAGGAATGGAGGAAGGGATGAAGGGATGGAGGGATGGAAGCAGGGATGGATGGGTGGAGGCAGGGATGGAGGGATGGAGGGATGGAGGGAGGAACAAATGGAAAGGCGGATGGAGGGATGGAAGGAGAAATGAATGGAAGGGTAGATGGAGGAATGAATGGAAGGGTGGATGGAGGGACAAATGTGGGATAGACGGAGGGACGAATGGATAGGCAGAGAGATGAAGGGATGGATGGAGGGAGGTACCGAGGGTTGGGTGGAAGGATGGCTGAGGGAGGGATGGAGGAATAGATAGAAGGGTGAATGGAGGAATGGATGGAGGGTGGGTGGTAGGAACAAAACACAAGGACCCATCCTGGGCAAAATGCCATTAACAACTGGGGCAGAACCTCCTAGAACAGTACATCTAAAGCTGTATCCTATCGCAACTTTCCAGTAAGAACGGCTCAGGCTATCCATGCTAATACCTGCTTCTACAGCAAGTTGCTCCACGGCCACCCACAAATGTACAAGCACCGTCAGTGTGGCCGAGGGGCTTCCCAGAGCAGCCTTCATTGGTCCTCACTGAAACTCAGATGGGTTTCACTAGGGTCCGGCCGGATAATGGTTCCTGAGGTTCTCTGTAGGAGCGAGCTTGTACCGCATCTCGTTCTCCTCCTGTTCCTAAGGCTGAAGCTCTGGGTCTGGAAGCATTTCCATTTTTTTTGTTTGTTTTGTTTTGTTTTGTTTTGTTTTGTCACATCCAGTGTTGCTCAGGGATGACTTCTGGCCCTGCACTCAGGAATGACTCCTGGCGGTGCTCAGAGCACCATACTGGATGCCAGGGACCAAACCCGGGTTGGCCGCTGGTAAGGCAAACGCCCTCCCCACTGTACTATGGCTCTGGTCCCCATTTCCATGTATTAAATGCATCCAGATTCATACTGAACTGATACAAAAGGGGATTCATATAGACAGACAAGTTTGGGGGCAGCATGGGCTCCCCTCATTTAAGATTTCCTTTTCCAGGGTTGAAGCAATAGCACAACTAAGAAGTCTGCAGCCAACCCGGTTCAATGCCCTACCAGGCATAGGGTCCCCCAAGCCACACCAGGAGAGACCCCCAAAAACAGAGCCAGCAGGCCAGCAGTAAGCTGTAATACTATCCGGTGTGACCCCCTTCCAATAGGAAAAAAGAAAAAGAGAAAGAGAGATTTCCTTTGTCAGTTAGATCATCTGAATTGTAGGCAAATGACTGATCCTCTCCACCAGGCCGCTATTAGGATCAGGTGGGAAGTCACAAGACAGAGAATGTCCTGGCCCCCTCGCCACAGGACACGATGGGAAGACATTCCTATGGAAAGGGCCGGCGCTCACTGATGAGCCAATCCATGCCCACGCGGTGAATTCAACAGGGAGGTCTTGGCCACGGAAGGCGGGAGTCAGGTCTGAGGGGCCTCTCGTTACCCTGGTGACCTGGGAGAGCCTCTGCAGATATGGACATGGGATTAAGGCAGTGGTGATGCCCCTGGGGAGCATAACAGAGAGGCAGAATCCAGAGCTGCCGGCGCTGGCCCCACAGAACCTGAATCACTATCTAACAAACGGCCAGAGGGTGTGCACTGCCGGGGGAGTGGTGGGAATCACTGGGTAGGGGGCACGAGTGAGGGGTCCCCACACGCCATCTGTGTGCCAGTTCCTCGCGGCCCCTGACCTGCCTCCTGGGCTTCCACGGTGCATGCGTGTTCAGTGAACCGTGGCATGTGGGAGGTTCCTGCTCTCTGCAACAGGAGCCACCCCGGGGCCCAGGGTAGAGTTGCCCCGAGTCCATGCCCTCACCTGTCTCTGCGCCCACTGTCAACGTAGCACCAAGCATTGTAACATGCCCTGGCTGGGGTTTATTGTTTCAATGTCTAAATTTTATTCAAGCACCACGATTTACAAAGTGAGTGGACGGCTGAGTTTTAGACGTGTCATGTGCTGGCCCCGGTCCCGCCATCCCGCCTCGACCCCACACTCTCTCTGCCCCCCAGGACGCGAGCTTCCGTTCCATCGGCATCTCCTTACCTGGCCAAGCAGCAGGGAGCCAAGTTCCGGTTTAACTACCAAGTCCCACGGTCTGGGCTTTCTCATTCACGGGAAATGGGACGAAATGCTCAAGCGAGGCTAAGTGGCTCAGTCCCAAACTATTTCTGATGCCCAAGAGGAAGAAATCTTCTGGGGGAGGGCGAGGGAGAAAAGAGCAGGAATAGTTTTCCTAGAATAACATGAGCTGCAGTTCAGAGCAGGAGTGTTCTGCGAAAGAAAAATCCATTTCCCAGGCACAGGAGGGCAAGGTGGGAAGTGTCCGAGGGGTTCCCCTACCTGCTAGAGGCCTTTAGGGGGCAGGAAGACAGAGGCCTTTAGGGGTCCCGTCAGACAGCCAGCTGACAGGACTGGATCAGAGCCAACACCGCTTACGGTTTCTCTCTTTCTTTCTTTGTGGTCTTTGGGCCACACCCAGTGGTGATCAGGGCTTACTCCTGGCCCAGTGCTCAGGGATCACTTTTGGCAGGATTCAGAGGGACCGCACAGGACGCAGAGTATCAAACCTGGGTTGGCTACAGTCAGGGCAAATGCTTTTACCACACACCCCCATACTAGGTCTCCGGCCTCATTTGGTGTTTCTTTGATGACCCAACAGTGACTTGAGATCAGAAACCGCACTCATTTAAGGAATTAGTTGGCACCATGTGAACCTCAGTATTTAAAGAAGCAGATTTTCAGTTTTTGTAAATGGCATCAGAAATAACCATTTGGCGAAGCTCTGGGTTTGGAAACTGGCTCTGACACTAATTCATATGAATTTGGGCAAATGACTTCCTTTTATAAAACAGATCGGCAGAAAAGAGCAAAACGGAATGGGGAGGGGGGACACTTTGTTTCTCTCGTTTATGAAATAATCGCGGCTTCGACTTGGCTGCGCACAGACAATTCGCTGGAGTGCTTCTGTCGTCAGCTGGCGAGCGGCCACCCCGAAACTGGCTGACGAGGCTCAAAGCAAAGCCTGGACAGTGGGCAACATGTCGAGGGGGGAAAGTCACGATGACCCCTGCAACGACTCCCACCAGCACACGGGCTGGAAGGGGAAGGTGAGCAGAAGTGCACGTCTGCCAGGTGCCAGGGAAGGAGACCCGCAAGCCTCGTGAAACATCACCGGCCATAGAGCCGGGCACCGCGGGGTCACCAGGGAAGGGGCAGCGTGAACTCAGCCGGAAGTTCTGGTGCCCACAGAAAGAAGCAAACGCTACAAGTCGAGGTGCAGAGGGATGAGAACTATTGCCCCCAGGCACTGGCTGCTCCACAGTTACCAGCACCCCAATGTCACATCCCCTAAACTGCCTATATTCAACCCGGCAACTCGACTTCCACCTTTCCAAAGGGAATCATCCAGAACCCCGGGTGCAGAGGGCGGGGAAGACTTCATGCCCCATGACATGCCCGAGGCCCAGGACGCATGAAGCAGACTGGCCAAGAAATCCAGCAGAAAGCCTGCAGAGAGACAGGATGGCGGGGAGGGCGCCTGCCTTGCACCAGCCAGCTGGGGTCAGCCTGGCACCCCCTATGGTCCCCTGAGCTCTGCCTGAGCCCTGCCAGGAATGATCCCTGAGTGCAAAGGCAGGAGTAAGCCCTGAGCAGAGCTGGATATGACTCCCCTTACATCCTACAAAAAAAAAATTTTTTTTAACTAGTAACATATTGATATAGAGATCAGACTATTATACCAAAATAAAACTAAATATGGTACAATCTTAATCTCTAAAAACTACACCTAGAGGACAGAAAGCTTGCTTTAAAAAACACCTCCAGAAGCATTTTTCTGAGAGTTCCTTTTATGTGGGGGCCACACCCAGCAGTGCTCAAGGCTTACTCCTGGTTCTATGTTGAGGGATCACTCCTAGAGGGCTCGGCAAACCATATGGAAAGCTAGGGCTTGAACCCAGGTCGGTCACATACAAGGCAAGTACTCTACCCACGGTGGTATCTCTAGCCTTCTGTGTGAGGCTTTAACCAGAGAGCTGCAGGAGAAGGGAAGGGGTAGCACTGCCCTCCTGCTGTTCATCGATTTGCTCGAGCAGACACCAGCAACGTCTCCGTTGTGAGACTTGTTGTTACTGTTCTTAGCATATTGAATACGCCACGGGGAGCCTGCCAGGCTCTGCCGTGCGGGTGGGATACGCTCGGTAGCTTGCGGGGCTCTCTGAGAGGGACAGAGGAATTGAACCCGGGTCGGCCGCGTGCAAGGCAAACGCCCTACCCGCTGTGCTATCGCTCCAGCCATGCCAGGCACGGCTCATGTCTGACTTCTCAGAAGGGCGCTAAAGACGGCCCGGCTGCAGGTTCTGAGGGCGCTGGAGGCCCAGGTCCTGCCGAGAGTCACAGCCCCAGGTCCTGCCGAGGGTCACAGCCAGCTCTTCTCAGGAAGAGAAGATGTAGCGGAAGAGAGAGCAGAGGGCGCTGAGTGACCATTCCTCTGCGGAGGTCTGGTTTTATTATCATTATTCATTTAGGTTTGGGGGCCCTATCCAACAGCGCTCGGGGCTCCCTTCTGGCTCTGTGCTCAGGGATCACTCCCAGTAGGGATCAGAGAACCCCAAGAGGGGGCAGGACTCGAACCCAGGTTGGCTCCTGCAAGCAGACCGCAGCTCTCCCTTGTGAGGCCGGCACAGCGCTGCCATGAGCGGAATTTCCTGCAAAGACATGTCCTGACAGTGGAGCCCGGGGCCACGGGCATGCCTGTCCCTGGCGGCCTCAGGCCCACACGACGTGCTCGACAGGCTCTGAGGCTCCCCCAAAGACCCCCGAGGCCCCAAGCGGCGAAGACTGCAGGGCCCAGCCCTCGAGTGCAGCTATTTCCCGCCAGGAAGACCCGCAGTGCTCTGGGGCACCGTCTTACCCTCAGCCCTACCCCAAGCACCCAGCCCACTCGCCATGCTGGCCTCGCACTGGACATTCCCCCACAAATGGCTAGTCCAGGGCAGCGGTTCACCACAAAGCTCCTTTCCAGAAAAAAATAAATCACTTAGCCCACCCCCTCATCCCAGAAATCTACCTTCCTTAAACATACAAGCGTCTCCCTGAGTCGCACCTGAGGCTATGCCCTCACTGGTGTCCCAGAACCCCCAGGGCTGGGGCGAGGGAGCTGCCCACTTTGGGAAATACAGGCCTGGCCGGGCTTCTCTCTTAGGGGCACCTCTCGAGCACTGCCTGGAGGAAGCATCTCACAGCCAGCTAGCCCTCGGTTATCATATGCAAAGGTGGGCTGGGGGCTGGAGCACGTGTCCGCACATGCAAAGCCAGCTGATGACCTGCGATGCCCGCGCCCTCTCCCACATTCCAGAGTCGGGGTCACCCTTTTATTTCTAAAAGAATAAAATGAAAAGACTCGCTCAGAAAAAGGAAAGGAAAACAGAGGAGCCAGAAAGGCCCTGGGTGCGGGACGCTCCTGTTTCCTTGACGACGAGAACCGCCCCCACCCAGCTCCTTCCTGATGCTCTGATGCTTGAAAGATGCTCAAGTCCAGTCTCGTGGGGCCGAGAAGCTCCTCCCTGGTCCTTCCTCCTCTTCCCTCCCAAAGCACACTTGGGGGCTCCCACCTTCTTGCAGAGGGATTTACCGAGAGCCCAGGATGAGAGCTGGACAGATACACGGACCCTGCACAATGGCCGCTGCCGTGGAGCGTGGCCCGACGGTGCGTGCAAGGCCAAAGGGCAGGCAGTGAAGAGGGAGACTGAGGGCAGAGGGCTAGCAAGGGGGATCCGCATGTGGCCACAGCGGAGGGGGACTGTCCCCCAGGGAGAACCTGAGCAGCCCTGGGCAGCAACGTGGGCATCACATGCTCAAGGCCCAGAGTCAGGGCGGCTGGGACCCGGACAGGCTTTGTGGGAGCCGCGGTTTGACAGGGTAGTGAGCAGGCGAGGGAGCGGGGGGCTGGAGGACGCATTCACGGTGCCCAGTGGGGGACAGAGAGCAGCAGCGGGGGTGGGGGCACTCCTGGGGGGGGGGCGGTGTGAGGCTCAGAAAGAAACTGCAGCACCCACATGAGGCATCTGTGAAGACTTTCAAGGGGGGACCCCGAAGCCCACGAGGGGAGGGGACGGCGGGAAGGGGACCAGGGCAGAGGCAGCAGGGGGAGCCAGAGGGACGCATCGGGGTTGTTTGGCCGCTAATATGATATTGAAAAGCCTCTGACCTTTGTCCTTTGACCTTGGAAGAAATCATCAAAGTGTTTCAGCAAGGAGACCTGGACCGTGCTGTCGTCGTACTTGATCAGGAAGTAAGGCAGGGCCGGGACGCCCTCGCTCTGGCAGAGGCCGTCGTACGCGCGCTCCAGGGCTTGGATCTGAAACGGGAAACATCCGTGACGGTCTGGATAGCGCCTGCGAGGCGCTGAGCTCAGGGCCAGGCTGGAAGACCAGAAAGGCCCGCTCACTCCCCTGTGGATCGTAGAGTTTGGTTTTGGGGTTCTCCCGGGAGTGCTCAAGGGCTACTCCCAGCACTGTGCTCGGAGACTGGACTGGCCTCTCATGTGGACTGCCTGTGCTCTAGCCCGCTATTTTTTTTTGCAGCAAAAAAATAAAAGAAGAAAACATTTAAATGTCCCCAGATAATGGACGTGGCTGGCTTATGAGAGGCCCCAAGTTTGATCCCCAGCACCGTATGACCCCTGAGAACCCCAGGGTGTAGCCTCTGAGCACTGTAGACCGAGCACCCCAGGGTGTAGCCTCTGAGCACTATGGCCCAAGCACCTCATCACCGGGCAGAGAACAGAGCAGCTAGGCGCACACTGAGGGGCAGAGTGTCTCGGGGACTGTGCCAGCCCCCTGCACCTCTGGGTAGGCCCCTGGTCGGGGGAGTCCCAAATAATCCAGTAGGCATTTAGACCCATTCCCAGGAGATAGGCAGAGACAGGGCCACTGAGGTCACTCTTGGCCCTGCGGACAGGGTCCCAAAGCTGCCAGGTGCAGAGGTTCGGAGACGTTTCCGACCTCATCCCTCCTTCCTCTGACACCCAGGCATGACCCTTGGCTGATGCTCACCCCCCTGGCACTAACGGCTTCAGAGAAGCCCTCATGGGTGGTCACCCGGGCCCGTGTCTGCACACATGCAAGGCTGGGATCACAGACCACTCCCTCCCACAGCTCAGCATCATTTCAGGCTCTCCTGCATCCCCTGGAACCCGACACCCAGAGCAACCAGGTGTAGCAAACTCCACGCATAATTCCCCGCCACCACCCCAACCTCCACGCAGAGCTCCACACCCTCAGGAAATCAGAGCTAAATCACAAGCTCTGATATAAATCAAAACAAATGTATTCCTCGGGGTTCCCTGGCCTTAGCTCGGGGTTCTAGTGATGGGCATACTGAGGTGGCTGAGGGGCCCTGCCCGGGAGCAGCAGAAGCCTCTGGTTTCGGGTCTCGGCTCACTCCATGGCTGGAATCTTGGCACTGCATTTCTCAACCATCACCAAAGGCCTCGGTAGCCTGGAACAGTCCCGGCTGGCTCCGGGCACCCAGGCCTGATGCCAAAGCCTGCAGCGAGGACCAGGAGGAGGAGAACGACTCTGCAGTGACTCTTCTCTCTCCAGAGCAAAGCTGCCCGGGACGCCTCTGCACTGAGCACAACGGCCCGGTCGGCAAGGGCTCTGCTCAATGCTCAGCAAAACATTCCTAGAATTCCTCCGGCCTGGCTATTTTTTTAATAGCCAGGGAGCAGCTGGAGAACCACGCCCTCGACTTCTTCAGAATGGTGAGTCAGATTGTCTGTACATCCCCCAGACCACCGTGGAGGGCTCTTCCTCCACACAGGATTCCTTTCCCTATTGTTCTTTCTACTTCTTGTTTGGGGCCACACCTGGCAATGCTCCGGGGTCACTCCTGACTCTGCACTCAGGAATTACTCAGGGGGACTGTATGGGATGCCAAGATCGCAGCTGGCTGGGCCACACGCATGGCCAGTGCCCTCTTTGTCTGAATTCAGATGCACCAGATACAGTACTCATGTCCCCCACGTCCAGGGTCACCTGCATACCTGTTTCGGTGAAAACCTCTGATCCAGGCCCACTGGCCCCTGAATGAGGGGGACACTCTCCGGAAGGCAGAGGGCAGGGGAGCAGAACCAGTAGTAGAAGTGGTACTTCTTTAGGTCCTAGGAGAGACGGAGAAGGGAAGGGGCTCAGAACAGGGCCAGCAATTCCACGGCAACGTAACCACTAACCATAACCACCACGTCACCGCGGGAGATAGAAAATCTCACACACGCGGGATCCGCTCAACCCCAACAGAACCCAGGGTGGGTGCGATAGTTGTGTCCTATCACTCTCACAAGCCCCCGGGTGCAGCATGACATCCATGATGCCCATCACTGGCCTCTCGCTCACGAGCAGGAAAAGCCCAGGGAGCCATTTCTGCAGTCACCATGAGAGTTTCAAACTCGGGACCCCTGGGGGATAACATCATTCCATGCCGAGACAGACAGGTGACGCTGAGGGCGAGGAGGGGAGAAGAAGAAACAGAACAACGACAGAGCAGGGAGCGAAGGAGCAAAACTCTAAGGGCTGGAGCCACAGCCCAGCAGCGGGGAGGGCATGTGCCTGGCACGCGGCCCACCCGGGTTCAACTCCCAGCCTCCCTTATGGTCTCCGAGCCCACCAGGAGTGATCCCTGAGCTCAGAGGGAGCAGTAAGCCCCCAACAAAACAAAACAAAAAATTCTGCCCATGGCACCAAGCTCATTCAATGTGCCATCTGGGGCCGTACCCCCAAGCCCGGTGTCTCCCCAAGTGAGTGAGGCTGGCATGTGGCTGAGGGAGCCTGCCCTCAAAGCCCGCGCACACTGAGATAACAGCATGCGGTCTCCTCTGCACCTCTGTGGCACACAAGCCCAGCTCAGAGCCTGCCCATCCAGGCAGGGTCTGGCGGATCCTCAGAGCCAGTGACGGAGAGGACAGACCCGGCCTCGAAAACGCTTCTGCACAGTGTGGAGGGCGCAGGAGGATCACTGTGAGACCCACAAGAGGCTCAGAGGACACTGGGGGCCTGGGGACCTCAGTGACCACCTCAGTGACAACCACTCCCCACCAGCGGCAGGGGTGCGGCTGGACTCACTCACATGGCCGGAAGCCACAGAATGAGTCAGCGTTACCACGGACCATTAATGCAGTGGGGCTGGCTAATTAATATCATTCAATCTGACCACAATAAAAAGTGGACAATTGATGGCTTTTTGAGATGGCAGCCACATACTATCCAATTCACTATCGTAACCGAGTCATTTATTTTTGATGTTCGCAGAACATTTGCATCATTCCAGGAAGAAGCCCCATTAGTAGAATGGGAAGCAATTTGTTATTACTTAGAAACGCCCAACAGCAGAGATGCCCACACCCCAATTCCAAGCCCCCTAAAACTACTCATCTGCTTCCTGTCTTAGTGGATTGCTTATTTGGGACTCTCCGCATCAGTGGAATAGCACTAGATGACTTTCAAATGTGGACATACTGAAGTGGGTCCAGAGGAGAAAGTGGTGACTCCAGACCCCACTCTCAAGCTCTGCCCACGATGGATCAATTAAGAACAAATTCTCTCTTGATGACAGCAGACTGCAAAACCGAAATGAATGGAAAGGACTGCTCCGGAGCTCCCGAGTTTAGATTCAAAGTTTAGGCTGGAGTCCTAGGAGCAGCAGAAAGGAAAGAGCACCAGTAGGGATGACTCTGTCCTCTCTGAACTGAACTAACACCGGGTCACTGATCATCAGGAAAAGGCAAACCCATTCAGGATGAAAGACCTGGTAGTTTGAGGGATGCTTTGGTCACCCTCCAAAGTCAGAAGCCTCGGATTTCACAGGATTCTTTTCAGGATACAAAGGACTGAGTGGGAATTAAATGCAAAGCCCTTGTGGCATAGATTTTAAGAAGGCAGAAGCTTCTAATACTTATTAAAGGCAGGCTACTTTTTAATGCGCAGTGAAAAGGATAACGCTGCCAGCACAGACGGACTCTAGGAAATGTCTCAAAATGTTAATGAAGTGAGTTGGAATCTCATTTTCCTCATTAAACGCAAACGATCGATTTGATTCTGTAACCAGAACTCTTGCTACTGCAAACACAAGTCTGTTCAGGAAGCAATTCCAGGAATCCTGACCTCGCGTCCCTGTACATCTGTCCTTATGGAGACCCTCCCTACAGGCTCCACTTAACAGCGAGATTAAAGCAAGACAAGCGCTGGAAGCATGAAGCCCCTCCCAGCCCACCCTCGTCACGCAGAAGGCTGAGAGGGCTCGTGAGGAAAGTGCTCCAGGTAGAGCTGCCCCTGCCGTGCCTGCCAGCTGGGCCGTTCTCTTCCCCTACGGCAGCCAATCCAGGGAGCAGCGTGTGGAAGACACAGGAGGAGGGAGGAGGCAAGGCTTAGAGCGTGGGCCACGTGTGGGAAGCGGATCAACACCCGAAGCCGAGGAAGCCAAGGGAGGCAGCGCGCTGAACACAGCCGGCCAAGGGTTCGTGCTTCGGAGTAAGAAACGAACGGAGCCCAAAGGAATGCACGGCCCACAGCATCCACTGCTGCTTTGGAACAGTGAATACTGGAAAGGACCTAAATGAACAAGAGTGTAGAGAGAGCACACCGACAAACAGACACATTCAACCCAACTATGAAAAGCCTAAAGGGCAAACCTACGGGTAGACAGATACACAGACGTGAGTATGCATGTGTGAATGTATGTATGGCATGAATGTATATACACATGAGTGTACATACGTGAATGTATATGTGCATGGCTGTATATATCATGTGTATTTATGCGTGGGGCTGGAGCGATAGCACAGTGGGTAGGGCATTTGCCTTGCACGTGGCTGACCCGGGTTCAATTCCTCCGCCCCTCTCAGAGAGCCCAGCAAGCTACTGAGAGTCTCACCCACACGACAAAGCCTAGCAAGCTACCCATGACATATTCAACATGCCAAAAACAGTAACAACAAGTCTCACAATTTGTTGTGAGACGTTACTGGTGCCCGCTCGAGCAAATCGATGAACAACAGGAAGACAGTGCTACAGTGCATATATGCGTGAGGGGACATATGCATGTGTACATACGTGTGTGTATGGAGGGTCTCCTGTAGCCCAGGGGCTCTGGGAGTGACTAGGCTGCACCTTCCCTTGTCCGCAAGGAACCTGCAGTGACCACAGCGTCTGACTCACAAGGAGCCTGGACGAGGGCGGTTCTGGCCAGCCAAAGGCACTGCCATGGCCATATCCCTGCCCAGGGCACAGACTGTCAAAGCAGCATCTGCACCCAGGAGGAAAGGGCCACTGGGAGACGGGGACCCTTCACTCACCGCGAACGTTAAGAGGAGGAACTTGTTGAGGAGGACGGGGTTCTCCAGAGCGGCGCCCGACTTGATGGACTCCCAGATCTGCGGGGGGAGAGAACAACAGTGATGCTGAAACGCACAGTGCAGGCACTCTGCCCTGGGCCCGGCCTGCCCGGCACACACTGCCCCCCAGCAGCCAGATTACACATAGCACCCAAGGGCATGGATGGACCAAAGGCCTCCTCAACCGGCCCTGGTGTAGGGGAGGTCACCAGGCCACTCTCAGGCCTCCCCTGGGCACCATCCGCTCCTGGTCACCTATGTGGGGAACCAGCACCGGGCCTCCAGAAGTGAAGGTGCCGGCCCCACCCTGATGAGGTCCATGGTGCAGCCACAGAAACGAGCCAAGGGTTGACGCCCATCCGGGCTGTGCTCTCCCGGGAGGGGGTGGGATGCTAGGGGGCCCAGCACCAGGGAGGGGTCCAGGAGGCAGAAAGCATCTGAGAGGGGCGGCCTTGCCCCGGGAGAGGCAGGAAAGCAAAGAGACGGGGAGTGTGTCTCCTCAGCAAGCCGCATGGGGCGGTGGGTTCCCGGGCACTCCCAGGGTGCTTGGCGACCAGAGGGCAGAGACCGGTCTGTGCCATCCAGCCAGCCGAGGGTGTGCCAGCAGAGCCACAGCCAGCCGGCAGGGGCAGGGTGGACAGGCGGAAATCCTCACTTGGAAAGCCCCCTCCCAACAAGGCCTAGACAGGTCAGACGAGACCCGGGGGGCTCTGCAGGGCTGAGGCCACTGGCTGAGGGAAGGATGGAGCCTCTGGGCGCATGCGCATCTAAGGAGCATGGGGTTCAGGCTCACGTGCAGTCCGGGGGGGACAGCGGGTCAGGGGACAGTGTAGGACAGTGGACCGCCTGTCCTAGGCTGGGCTGGTGTTGCTGGAGGGGGCAGCCGTGGGAAGAGAACACCAGGCACAGACTGGGAGGGGCTTGCTGGGGCCTGGTCAGCGCAGCCGGGGCAGGGTGGACGTGCGGGGAGAGCATGGGGGGCCAGGCGGAGGGGTCCGTGCCCCAGATGGACTCTGCGACCCAGCCCCGGAGACAGCAGGGGCAGGCCTGGGCCCGAGAACAGGCTCAGAGGGGCAGGAGGCCACTGTGTGAGTGGTCACGACAGACACAGGCACAGGCTGTGCCCACGGGGATGTCCAGCCCCGCTGACCGAGAGTCGGGGGTGACTCTCCGACCTGTCTGGCTGCTCGCTGGGTCCCGGGACAACTGCACGCGGCCCATCCGAGACCCTGCACCTGCCAGGGGCCTGCTGGGACAACTGCCCCGTGGACGCTGGGTCTTCCCGGCTGACCTCGTTCGCTGCCTGGTCCAGGAGCAGCTTCTTATCTGCAGCCTTGAACGCCTCGAGGGTGTTGGTATTGTACAGGGTCCCAACGGCGGGGCAGCAGTGGGCTGGCGTCGGGGCAGCCCTGCGGTGAGAGAAATGTGGATGAGCAGGGAGCGGGCAGCCACGGGACAGAGGGACAGAAGGATGAGGCCTGCATGGCGGGGGAATGGCACGCACAGGGCCCATCCGAGACCCTGAATGGCACCTTACCACAGGGACCCCAAGTCTCGTGGGTGCAGCTTTGCCCCTCTTGGCTCAAAGGTCTGCCCTGATCCCCCTCCTCCAGGAAGCCACCCCTGCTTTCCCTGGCAAGGGGGTGGGGTGGGGATGCAGAAGCCTGAACAGACCCCGGGGTCTCCACACCCCCCACCCCCCAACCAGGAAGGTTCATTCCTTTTTTTTTTCAACAGAAAAGGGAAGCGTCAGCTCTTGAGCTTCCCAGGTGCTGGGCCTATGTGAGGAGTCAGTTCTCCTGACCGTTCTCTCCAGCCTTAAAGATTTCATGACTCACTCGAGGTCACATCAGAACCACCAGGCTGGCTCTTGGGACCCCAGTCCTGCGGGTCGAAGGCCTGCTCTGACCCTCCTCCTCTAGGAAGCCACCCCTGCTTTCCCTGGGAGGGGGGGATGCAGGAGTCCGAGCAGATCCTATTACTGAGGTGGAGCCACCTCAGTGGACAGTCAGCTCCCAAGGCAGGGGAGGGCTCCTCTCCCGGTGCCCAGAGTCACCCCAAGACAAACTGCTCCTCCATATGCATCCCCCCTCTCCAGGCTCCCGCCCTGCTCTGTGCAGTAGCCAGAGGCAGGAAAGGCTCGGCCGCCCACACACTGGGTCACGGCTCTGCTTCGTTCTGGAAGGTGGGTGAGCAGGAGACGAGTGGCTGATCCCGGGAAAGGAGCGAGTTGAACATAAAACTTGGCCAATCACGAGAATGTGAGATGCAGATAAGATAATCTACCCTGGCACGGAGCAGCAGGGCCAACCCCAGGGATCCGAGAGCAGAAGACGCAGAGACCGTGTGAGCAAGCCTGGGAGGGGGCGGGCTGTTCCAGCTGGCTCAGGAATGGAAAGCAGGCGGGGGGCGACCCACAGGGCCTCCAGCCTCCAGGCACAGGGACTGAGCAGGGACGGTGTCACTGTGTCTGGGGTTCTAGACATGGGAACCAGCTCGGCACCTATTTGGGGCAGTGAGGCCAGACCCCACCACTCATTCAGGCCATAGTGCCACGCGTCCCCACGCTCGGGGACTCCGGGGGCAGAGCAGGTGAGGTGGTGTCACCCAGCTTGAAGAGGCTGAGGCTTTGTCATCGGATCAAACCTCACGAGTACAAGCTGCTTCTGGTCTATAATCAAGGGTTCCAGAGAATAGAATCATCAGAGCCTTTCAGAAAAGATTTTGATAATTTTCTAAGAAAATAAACCTTCCATTTTTGTGTCAGAGTAAAGACAGGAATGGGATTAGCTCGAGACATTGGTTGCCATTTACCAGATTCAAACCCCTTTTTAAAGACACTGAATCACTGTGAGATGCAGATTTACAAGGCTGTTTATGATTGTGTGTCAGTCGTACGATGTTCCAACACCCACTTCTTTACCGGTGTGTTTCTGCCATCAATGTCCACTTTTCCCCTCCAGCCCACCCAACCCCCCAAATAAGCTGCCTCTATGGCAGACACTTTTCTCCTCTCTCTTTCCCACTCTCTGTCCCCTCTCCACCCCACTACCTGCCTCCGCTTTGAGGCACTGTTACTCAAAGGTTATCATGTCCCTGTCCCTCCTTTGAATGCTCAATTCTTCTTCAGAGGGATCATTTCCATCTAACATCGTCACAGTAGTAGTCCCTTCTCTGTCCAAACTGCCCCACCTGCACTCACACAACTTGTGGCAAGCTTCCCACCATGGACCAGTCCTGGCCCTCATTTCTACTGTTTTTGAGTATTATACTCATGTTTGTTTTTTAATGGGCTGGAGCAATAGCACAGCGGGTAAGGCGTTTGCCTTGCACGTGGCTGACATCGCAGACCCAGGTTCGATTCCTCCGCCCCTCTCGGAGAGCCCCGCAAGCTACTGAGAGTATTCACGATCAAGATCACGATCATCCTATTGTTCCTCGATTGCCTCGAGCAGGCACCAGTAATGTCTCCTTTGTCCTAGCCCTGAGATTTTAAAAAGTGCCACATTCAAGACTCTTTCAGGGTTAGGAGAATGAGACCCATCATTGTTACTGGTATTTGGTATACTGGGTATGCCATGGGGAGTTTGCCAGACTCTACCATGTGGGCAGGTTACATTCGGTAGCCTGCCAGGTTGTCCAAAGGAAGAATGAGATAATAAGATGTTGCATGGCCGCAAATGTGGCCGCGCCCTTCCAGGAGCTGGGTTTTATAATCTCTGGATCTTGGCCCTTGATGGAATTACACAGCACGGGGGGCGGGGGGGGGGGGGGGGACACAGTTGGTGGGTGTGACCCCTGCCTACTGGAAGATGGAGGATCTGGGTGGAGGATGCTCAGCCCCGATCCAAGCAGGCTTGGAGATCTCAGCCCCGGAACCCACTTGCCTTTGTTCCTCTGCCGGTACCTTCATGCGTGTGGAGAGTGGTCTCAGCATGGTGGTGGCTGGTTCTGGAGGTCTCAGCATGGTTGTCACACCCACCAACTGCCCCCCGGTGCCGTGTAATCCCATCAACAGCCAAGGCCTAGAGACTATAAAACCCAGCTCCCGGAAGAGAACAGCACAGAGTCTCCTGCCCTCGCGCCTGGCTGTCCTTGTTAGGGCACCTTGGAGGGGGGTGGGTTGAGTTTCCCTCCCCGCCCCGAGCAGAGCTCCGGCAGCCAAAGACCTCCAGAACCAGCCGGAGAGTATTCAATATGCCAAAAACAGTAATAACAAGTCTCACAATTTGTTATGAGATGTTACTTGAGCAAATCGATGAACAATGGGAGAACAGTGCAGTTGTTGTTTTTCAATATGGTATAAATGAGTGTGATCATTCTATGTCTGTCCCTCTCCTCTGACTCATTTCACTCAGCATGACGCTCTCCATGACCATCCATGGATAAGGAGATTTTATGACCTCATTTTTCTTCACAGCTGTGTAGTATTCCATTGTGTAGATGTACCACAGTTTCTTTATCTGTTTCCGAGCACTTGGGTTGTTTCCAGATTCTGGCTATTGTGAACAGTGTTGCAGTGAACACAGGAGTGCAGACAATTTTCTGCTGTGGTTTTGGGCCCTCAGGGTATATTCCCAGGATGGGTATTGCTGGGTTATATGGACACTTAATTTCTAGTTTTTTGAAAAATGTTGAATTCCTGGGCTGAACAGTCCCTCTCTCCACCTCAGGCCATTCAAGGCTTGCAGCCCGTCTATTTCCCCCAATGTCTTCACTTTTGCTCCTGAAGTGGGCTGGTCTCGGCCAGAACAGGAGAGAGATTACTAGGAGAGGAACAAACCTGTCCCAACAAGGAATCAAGAGAAAACTGGAAGGATTGAGAAACACTGGCTCAGTGAGCAGGGCAGGGGGTGGGGCGGGCACAGGGGTACTCACGGCAGTGCTGGGGGGCCAGGAGGTGCCAGGAATTGAACCAGGCCTCCTGCATGCAGAGTACGTGCCCAGCACTCTGAGCTATCACCCGTGCCAGCAGAGACCTTGTGGAGATATAAAGATCAAGACTGCTGGGAATGAAAGTTGAGCAACATATTTTGTGATTTAAGATATGTCTTATCAGGACATCTTATTATGACATCTTATTATCTCATTCCTACTTTGGACAAACTGGCAGGCTCCCGAATGTAACCTGCCCACACAGCAGAGTCTGGCAAACTCCCCGTGGCGTACCCAATATGCCAAATACCAGTAACAATGATGGGTCTCATTCTCCTAAAGAGCCTTGAATATAATCTCAGGGCTAGGATGAAGGAGACGTTACTGGGGCCTACTCGAGGCAATCGACGAATAACGGATGATGAAATGAAATGAAAATGAAAAGATAAAGGAGTAAAATGCAGTTTGTGGGGAGGACCAAGCCAGCGGTGCTCAGGCAGAGGGGACCATATGTGGTGCTGGGGAACGAGAGGGGTCAGTCGCGTGTAAAGCAAGCGCCTTCACCCCTGGAATCTCTCTCCAGCCTATATTTTTACTTCTGGATGATGATGATGATGAGGATGATGATTTCGTTCTAGAGCGACTTCTCTGAAGTTCCCTAACCTATGGTTACTATCAGCTGCAAAAGTCCAGTAGCCCTTACAAAGACTTCTGCCTTCCTCAAATAGCTCACTAGATACTGCTCAGGCGAGAGGCTACAAGAAAATTGATTTTCACTGAGACAGGGATTCACACCCTTTATTTCCACAAAATGAAAGTGGTTATTCTTTTTTTGGGGGGGAGGGGGGCACTCACGCCCGGTGATGTTCAGGGGTTACTCCTAGCTCTGCATTCAGAAATCACTCCTGGTGTGCTTGGGGATGATGGGGATCGAACCCAGGTTGGTGGCATGCAAGGCAAGTGCCCTCTGCGCTGTACTATGGTGCAGGCCCCCCAAATGAAAGGCTGATGGCACCAGGAAGAGCGCTCTGAGGGCTGGGTGTGCGGGTACTGCATGTGGAGCCCCGGGATCAAACTCCAGCATGACACGATCCCCTGAGCCTCCCCCAGGAGCAACTCCAAGCATGGCTGGGTGTGGTCAGCAAAGAAATTGTTCCAGTAGGAAACAAATGCCAAACGAGCTTATGTTCGCTTCAAGTGTGCCACTTGATGGCTCAATATTTATAGACAATGTGAAAGGATCACAAAAATTCAAGTCACAGCCGCACCACGGCTAAGTAAACCTGCGGGAAATGCCATCCTGGGCCCCTGCCCTGGCTGGCCACCTCCAGCAAACAGACTGTCCTCGGAGCTCAGCTGATTTCTGCCTTGATTCTATGAGTGACAACACAGGGGTCTGTCTCTTTCTGTCTTCCTCAGCGTGAGCCCCTCGGCACCCCTGGGGCCTGTGGTGATTTCCAGCTGGGCAGAACCCCACTCATGCCTACTCCACCTGGACACCCTGATGGTCTCCAGATCCCAGTCACTGCAAACACTGTGGCAACATGGTCAGAGGCACGGCCCTCTCTACAATCAGCGCTGTCACGCTCTCCAGAGAGCACCACGAGGCAGACCAGGGACCCCGGGGAGCCCCAGCTCTCACCTCTAAGGGTGCTCCAGACCGAGGTGCCCCCCACAGCAGAGTAGCCGCCCCTCCATTAGTCACCTGACCTGACAATAATTTGTCTTGATTTTGGCTGATGGCCTTTTGGCAGGGAGGGTCAGCTCTGCCGTTCAGATGAACATTTCCCTGACTCCTGACCAGCCTTCCCTGGGCTGCTGCCCCTTTGGACGGCTCTGGGGAGACATCGATTCAATCCTGACTTTTAATCGTATGGGGTTTTGTTTGTTTATCCCGATCACCGAGACCTCTGCCGTTGATCCCTTAGTAGATCATGACTTCCCTCTGGGCTGGCTGCCTTTTTGGTTTGTGGCTTTGCCTGCTGGTGCCTTCACTTACTTGGCCCCAGGAGTTTACTCCTAATTCTTGCTGGCCTGGCCTTCAGAGTCAGAGCATAAGTCACGAAACTGATGTTAAGGAGCCTTCCACTGTCATTTTTCTCCCAGATTTTTTTTTCTTTCGGTTTTTGGGCCACACCTGGTAGTGCTCTGGGCTTACTCCTTGCTCTGTGCTCAGAAATCATTTCTGGCAGGGCTCCGGAAACCATATGTGGTTGAACCCAGGTCGACCACATGCAAAGCAAGGTCCTGCCCACTGTACTATCTCTCTGGCCCCATTTTCCAGAAGTTTCATGGCTCCAGGGCTTTCGTTCCATTCTTTCATCCATCTTGAGTTAGTCCTGGGTATGGGGGAGGCTGAGGGTCCAGGAGAGAAGGTGTGGCTCAGGGTAGAGCACATACTTGCAAGCAAGGTCCTAGGCTCAAATCCTGGCACCATAAAAATAAAGATGGGGGCGCGGTCTCATTGGTTCGCATGTGGCTGTCCAGTTTGCCCATTGACTGGAGAGACCGTCCCTTGCCACTGTAGATTTCTACCTGCTTTGTCACAGACCAACTGACCGTTGATACGAGGGATTATTTCTGGGCCCTCTGTTCTGTTTCACTGACCTGAGTGTCTGTTTTGATGCCAAATTGTTTTGAGTACCACAGCTCTGTTAGTAGCCGGAAACCAGCCTTAAGATTTGCTCTGCTTCTCAAGATGGCTTGGCAAAATCTGAGGTTTCTTGTGGTTCTATACACGTTTCCAGATTACGTGCTCCCAGTGGAATTCTGATAAGGCTTGCACCAACTCTGCAGATTGCTTCGGGGGATTTTTAACAATGTTAATTCTTCTATTCCATAAAAACAAACGATTCATTTCTTTATTCATTATTTAATTTCTTTCAACAATGTCTTATAGTTTTCACTGTACAAATCTTTCACCTCCTTAAAATTTTATTCCGGGTATTTTTTTCCTTCTGATGCAATCATAATTGGATTTTTTTTTTTACTATTGTTAAGTTGGTTCATTGCTAGTGTGTAGATGCTCAACAGATTTTTATATGTGACTTCTGTACCCTGCAAGTTTACTGAATTCTCTACAGAACGTGTGTGAGAGTATGTATGAGAGTGTGTGTGTGTGTGTGTGTGTGTGTGTGTGTGTGTGCTTGAGAGTATGTGTATCTGTGCATGTGTGAGTGTGAATGTGTATGTGTGAGTGTGTGTATGAGAGTACGTGTTTGTAGTCTTAAGGTTTCTTCATATATAAAACCATGTCATCTGTGGCAGATGGCTCATTTTACTTCTTCCTTTCTAATTTGATACACTTAATTTCTCCTTCCTCCATAAGTACTCAGTGCAGAGTGGTTTGCCAGCCTCCGGACAGGCTTTCAACCACACCCTTTAGAATTCAGGAGCAACAGCTCAACTCTCAAGAGGACAGGCGACATCCCACAAACCTGATGCCCGGCGCTGAGCACTGCCCGCTGCTTCTGGTGCTGTGGACCGTCTTTCCTCCCTCAGAGTGTTCTCTTCCTTACTTCCTATGACTGTTTCTGGCTCCTGGTCCTGCCCGGCAGCTCTGGCATCCTTGGGAGCCGGGGCTGTTGCTGACTCCTGGGCTGGTCCAGGCCCCTTGGCTTCCCGTCAGGTCTGGCCACCATTGTGGCCTCTGTTCTCATTCAAGAGACTCTGCCTGATAGCTCTTCTGTACAGACACCTCCTCCCCCACATCCGAGCCAGGTCTCCCCCTCCCCCATGACTTTAGTTTCTCCCAGACACTCGTCGGGCACTGTCACCTCAAACACTCAGTGTGCCCTTAACAAGTCCACCTCCCCCTCCTGCTTTCTCCATTCCCAGAGAAATCCTAAGTACCTCCCTGCTCCCAACACTGCAACTTCAGGGCAGAATTTCTTCTCCTTGGTCCCTGGCCCCCTGAAGCTCTCCCTAAGCAAACCGTTCTCCCCGATGACTGAGGTTTTCTCACGGGCTAAAGAGAACTATGTTGGAGAAACACTCACCCACACCTCAACGGGTGCCTTTCTTCCTTCTAGAACTTTCCCCCACTCCCCGATTTTATTAAAGAATAACAAAAATCAGAACCAGAATTATGTCCTTGAGGATGTATGTCAGACCCCTCTTATACCCCAGAAAGCCTCGCAGTGACTGGAGCCTAACGACAGTCACCAATACCCTGGGGGGAAGCCACGAAAGGACAGACCACACAATACGGACCCCAATCCAGACCAGGAGGGACATTATCTCAACCAGTCTACATTGAGTCCCCAAACTTACTAGTCTGACCACCCCTTTCCAGAAAAACAGGTACTAAGTGTCCCTCAGAAGTCTCCCTTCTTTAAGCAAACAGAAAGTAGCCCCAAAGTGCACCCCACACTACAAAACCAGCAGTGCTGGCGGACCACACAGTGTCAAGAATCAAACCTAGGCGAGTCACATGTGAGGCCAGCACTGAGGTGCTGAATACACACCACACACACACTCTCTCTCTCTCTCTCTCTCTCTCTCTCGTGCTCTCGCTCCTGGTCGTCAGATTCTGATCAAAAAAACGCTCATGCGTGGGAGCCAGGCATGTAGCCGACGTGGCTGAGTTGTGCCACGCACGCATGAGCCTGGGCGGGATCCCCAGCACCACAAACAATGGGGAATTGATACTCACATGTCAAACGCACTGAACTCCAACGTCAGGCGAGCCGGCAGCCCGGCAGAATCCCCTGGAGAGAAGCATCACAATATTTCCATTACAAGTCAGCCACAGCAACCTTTGTAACAAAACATCTGTCATGTTCTTTTCTGTGCTGACCTCAAAGTGTCCCGTCCAATTACCGGCTACACAAATTAACTGGGGACTCGACAATCAATGCAGAGCTTCTGTAAATTCCAGAAATTTGCAACAAATTTAAAAAAACGTAATTGGGGGAAAATTTCCCCCCAATTTCCTCCCCCTGCAACACCAAGGAGCCATGATTCCTTCTTGGAATAATTTCCTTGGGACTCGCACTTTCCTCCCTATTCCCTACAAAAGGAGAAGGGAAGGGGATGGGATGGAAACTGGAGTAGGAGAAAGCAGTGAGGAACGCTTTGGGCAGAGGTGGGGGCGCCAGTCTGGAAGGCCAGATACGGGGCACAGGGACCCCCAGAACCTACCATTGTAGTAGTAGCCCTTGATGTCCCTGGGCGCTTCATCCAGCCGATACTCGTTCAGCTTCTTCTGGGTCAGCTCGTGCCAGAAGCCGACATCAAGGGCACTACTAAAGGGCGCAAACTGCAGCTTGGAGAGGCCCGGGGCCCCTGTGGCCGCCGCCATCCCTGGGCGTCTGCAGAGAACACAGCAGAAGCGTGGGCCGGGGAGGGAGGGACATGTGTGATCACCTTAATCAGAACAAAGAAACCACAGTCCCAAAGGCTCCCTCGCTCCTTGGGGCTCCCCCTGGAAAATCATCCCACAACTTGTCTCTGGGATCTAACCTGGCCTCCACGCTCCACACATTTGTCCTAAGAAACCCTCTGGCTTTTCCTTTACCCTTTCCCTCTCTCCTTTCTCCTTTCCATGGTACACCTGCTCGCACCCAGAACAGGGTAGGGCACCAGGCTGGAACTTGAGGCTCAGATGGGTAACGCCTGTCTGCCCGGCCCACCCGTGAGCTTTCACGTGCTTGGGAAACTTGGGCTTGCCCTTCTGTGGACTTCACGCTCCTACGTGAGTCATCACCGCAGTCATTACCTGGTCCTCCAGCACACAAACACAGGGCTGCCCTTTGGCCCACAACGCTGGGCCACTGGGGTACATGCAAGCACAAGCGTGTGTGCACACGTGTATGCGTGTGTGTGTGTGTGCGCGCACACACACACACACACACACCCCAGAGCCTGCCGACTCAAGGGCTTTCAAACTCAGACACACACACACACAAACCAGAGCCTGCTGACTCAAGGGCTTTCAAACTCAGACACACAAACACACACACACACACACACACACACACACCAGAGCCTGCCGACTCAAGGGTTTTCAAACTCAGACACACACACACAAACCAGAGCCTGCTGACTCAAGGGCTTTCAAACTCAGACACACACACACACACACACACACACACACACACGGGGCCTTGCTCCATCCAGGAATCCAGGAGTGGAAAGCAGGGTATGGAGTGCGTGCGGGGTGTGTCAGGTCACTTTTGCCTTCTCCCCAGTGACCCCCCTGCCCCCATAGAGTGGCGTAACGTGTAAATACACTCCTGGGCTCTTCCTCAGGACAGCAGGAGGCGCTCCCAAGCTGGATGCAGGGCTGACTGGACCTTCGCCCAGCGACAAGAGCTGCGGGGTACTGGGTCAATGCTGGCATGAAGTAACAGCAGCCCCCGACCCCCACCCCAGAGGGCTAAAGGACGGATGCGGATGCCACAATCAGACAAATTTCAGCAGAGCTGAACAATGACTAATGGCCTGAGTCATCCAAAGAGCCTTGCTAATAACGTTCCCTGAGTGTGAGCGCTCAGGCGGCGATTAGGTGACCCTCTAACAAGTGACTCTGTGTGAAGTGTCAGGCGGACGGCCGAGGGGCTGTTCTGAAGAGGAGCCGATGGTAAACACCGCAGCTCCATCTCTGCAGCCTGCAGCGGCCAGACTCCCCGGGGTGCCAGCGACACGGGCACTCTGTACATGCCAGCCTCGCCTGGATCCTTCCTCCTGTCCCATGGCCAGGCCAGATGTGAGGCTGCAGACATGGACAGCTCCTCCCTCTGAGGCACCCAGCCTGCTTGGAAAACCTCCCCCACAGCGGCTTCGGCACCCCCTCCGCCCTCAGAACCGGACTCAGCTCTTGGTCCCGCCAGACTGTCCCTCCCAGAGATTCGGGGCTGGCCTCCCAATCCTCCCCACGTACACTGGTGCCCTGAAGAGCATGTTCCAAAGATGTTCCAAAGAGAATGTTCCAAAGATGCATTCTTGCATCCTTTTAGGGTACCCTCCTCCCAAATAGGAGGAAGAAATAACCCACACTGGAGGACAAACCCCCGAGGGTTACTGCTGCCAGGAAAATCAGGGCAGTGTTGGGACCCTAAAATATGCAGGGAGCTGTGCCACGTGACTCTGGTGTCGCAGCGGTTAGAGGTCCATGGACACAGAGGACAGGAAATAAACGTGCACAAATCAGTTTAAAGAAATCTTCCTCCACCAAAGGAAAATCTGTTTTGCCCTCAGACTAGCCCATTGGTTTGAGTTTAAATAAAGGAGCCTCGATGCAGGCTCCACAGGGAGTTCCAGCACTGGGCCAGGACCTGCCTGGGCCAGGCCTGGGTTCCGTCCCCAGCACCCGTGGACCCCAAGGATCTCGGCCTCCACAACTAGCTCTAGCACTATCCTCCCATTGTTCATCAATGTGCTCAAGTGGGCCCAGTAATGTCTCCATTGTGTGTCTCAATTGTTACTGTGTTTGGCATATCAAATACATCACGGGTAGCTTGCCAGGCTTTGCAGTGCGGGCAAGATACTCTCGGTAGCTTGCCGGGCTCTCTGAGAGGGGTGGAGGAATCGAACTCGGATCAGCAAGGTCGGCCACGTGCAAGGCAAATGTCCTACCCGCTGTGCTATCACTCCAGCCCCGGCCTCCACAACAATAAAAGAACATAGAAATGAAGCACCAAGACAGGCAAAGGAGAAACGGGAAGGCTTGGGGTGCTGTCCTGTGGGACCCAACAACCATAGCACCTGTGGGAGCTAGCTGATGACCTAAAACATAAAGAATGAAATGAAGATGACTGGGGTCTCATCAGGACCCATCGTCAGTTAAACACGGAGAAACTTCTGTGGTGTGGCTGGTCGCTTCCTGAGACTATCCCAGCAGGCAGGGCTGGGGCTCGCTCCAGACCCTCACCCGGCCTCCTGCCAGGGTCCATGGGCCTGGAATCTCAGGGAGTCTATCCAGTCCTTCCCACGTGGTGATGATGCCCTGCCCTGTCATTTATTGGAGCACAACTGAGAAGCACATTCTGTTTGCCTACAGAGGGTGAAAGTCCAGAGAGCAAGTGATTGGATATTTCCAATATTCAACAGAATAAAAGGAACCAGTAGATCCATAAGTTTGGGGGCCACTGTTCTCACCCAGGGCAGGAGTGGCACTGTGCCCACTAGTAGGATGAGCTGAGAGCCTGCACACAGCAGCTGGAGCTCCACTGTCAGGGCATTCACTGGGACAGGTTAGATGGGGAGGCTGCAGCCCACGGAGGGGGACACCGGCTCTCCCTCGCCCTGGGTGGTGGCTCCCAGGCCTACGAGCCAAATCTAAAGAGCCACAAGCTATACGCTTGTAAGTGTCGTGCCTCCCTTCACTCATGTGTGGACCCGCACACACCAGGATGGGTGTGTGCTTCACCAGCAGCTTCCTGCCTTCACTCTGGAGCCAAGAGCTGACCCATGCAGATCCAGCCTTGGGGCACAGGAAGTCACACTCGCAGTGACACAGCCCAAATGAAACACCCTTTCCAGAGGCATTTTTCTGTGAGTGATAATAAAGATAATAAAGACAGAAATCTCTGGGCTGGGCTGGGCTGCTTATGGAGCTAAGTGGAGCAGAAACACTCCCTGGCCTGGGTGGGCCCAGCAACGCCCTCGGGGGGAGGATGAGGGCACTGGGCAGAGTATATCAAGCAATGCAGGAAGGGCATCATGGGGCTCAGGGCCACTCCGCAATGAACTTTCCAAAAACCCGATCTGGGATGAGGTGGGTCTGTCAAGGTTGTCATGGGAACATATGTGCAGGGTGGGGTTTGACATCTGCATGAGGGGTGCATGGGGTGGGGAGCAGAGCTGCAGGGCTGTGCTGTGACCCCAGGTCAGCTCATCCCGTGTGCCCCACTTCCCTCCTTTCTACAAGGAAGACCCCAATCCCAGGAGGCCCCAGGGGGCGTGAGCATGGGCTGCGGGCAGCCGCCCCTGTAGTTTTCTCGTCCTGACATCCCTCCTGCCCCCCACCTCCACCTGTGCATATGTGAGCCAACCACGGCGGGTAAGGCGGGAGACTTCAGGGGTATACATGAGACCTGCAGGGTCCCCCCGCATTGCATCTCCCTCCCCTCTCTCAGAGCTGCAGGGCTGCTTGCGGGGTTCCCTGATGCCTCAGCCCCTGAGCACACATGCCCCCCTTCCACTCACAGCTATTTGGGAGTATGGGATATGTAAGCCCCCCCACCCCTCCACCCGTGCACCAATAAGCAGCACGCAGCACGACTGGCCTAGGTGATGTGCAGAATGTGCTGCAGTCGTGGAAGCCTAGTGGGAGATACTCTCAGCAGGGAAACACATTCAGTAAGGTCTTAGGACCTGGGCGATGAAGGGGCTCATTCATCAGTGCTCCAGGCCAGGCGCAGGACCGGCTGGACAAAGGATCAGAATAACAAAGACTGCCCAGCTGGAGGGATGGGTCTGTTTTAACTAGATGAACTCCCTGCAAGTAGAGAAAGTGTCTGAGACACCCTGTGACCTGAGGAGGCAGGAGGCAGGCCCAGTCTGGTCCTCGATCCCGGGGGCTAGTCCTCAGGCTCGGACAGGGAGGCAGGAAGCGGGGAGGCCCTGGGTGAGGAAAGCAGGAGGAAGAAAGGTCTAGAAGCAGAACTCTGCTGGGGGGGAGGGGGAGAGCAGATGGAGGGAGGGACAGGAGCGCTGCTATAGCCCAGGGTTGACCGGTTACAGGCCAGGAGAGTAAGGGGGAGCAAGGAAGAATGGCAGGGGTGGAGAGAAGAGGAGGAGGAGGGCCGTTCTGGACGAGTAGGGCTTGAGGCCTGGCATCTGGAAGTAGAGAAAGTGACTGAGACACCCCGTGACCTGCAGAGGCAGAAGGGAGGCCTGGTCTGGTCCAAGGGGTTAGTCCTCAGGCTCGGACAGGGAGGCCGGAAGGCTCCCCTCCTCCCCCCCAAACAACAGGCCTGTTGACACTGAGGGTGAGAAAAGCGGAAGCAGCGAGCGCAGCCCTGGAGGAAACCTGGATGGGAAGGATAAAGACCCAAGGCTGGAAGAGCTGGAGCACAGCACGGGGTGGCAAGAGCGGGCACGCCTGGAGCCTGAGTCCGGAGCCCCCTCCCAAACAGCCAAAACGATCAGGGACAGGAGAGGGACTAAATAACGAGACAGCGGGGCACAACGGAAGTCACTCAGGCTAAGCCCCACGCCACCAAACCTAAGGCAAGGTTTCCTCAGAGAGGGAATCTTGCATCAGTCGTCTCAGGATCTCCTGAGCAACATGAGTCGAGTGACCTGCCCAGACACACGCACAGCCAAGGACAGTGGCTTCCAGTGACCAAGGCAGCCGGCAACCCCG